AAGCTAGCAAAACTGCTTGAAAGATAACTAAGGATAGATTATCCAAACTGGAAGATAGGTTTGCAATGTGGGATTATGAAAGGGAAAATGTTTTAAAAATAACAAGGAAACAGGCAGTAACAATACAAAGGCTAGAAGATGACAAGAGGATCTATAACTTAAGAACGTGAAATGAAGAATCAGGGGTACAAACAAAGGAACTACAAAGGCTATTCACAGAAATAATTAAGGAAAACTTCCCAAGCATAGGAAAAGGAAATGATATTCAGATGTATGAGGCATAAAGAACTCCAGCCACCTACAACCAAAACAGAACTACATCCAGGCATATAATAATCAAGATCCCAGAAAATTCAATATAGGAACAGAATATTAAAAGCCATCAGAGAAAAGAAACAGATCGCCTGCAAAGGAAAACTCATCAACATCACGGCAGACTTCTTGACACAGACCATCAAATCAAGAAGAGCTTAGAGTGAAGCATTCCAAGCCCTGAAAGAAAATAACCTCCAGCCCAGACTGATGTACCCTGAAAAACTGTCTCTAGAAATTAATGGAGAAACAAGATGCTTCCAAGAGAAAGAGGAACTAGGGGAATTCACGACCACCAATCCAACTCTACAGAGAAGACTGAAGGACATTCTAGAGAGAAAAAAGAAGTACCAGGATTCCAGGAACAGTGGCAGAGAGGCCTCAATGAATGGAGCAGAAAGTGGAATGAAGAAGAAAAGCAGACAACTAATGGCAGAAAAAGAGCACAACAGAAATGAGGCAGAGGTTGGCAATAATCTCTAGTATATATGGCCTTGATACACACACACACACACACACACACACACACACACACACACACAAAGAATAAGAATAAAAACAAGAAACACAGGCAGAGCAGATCACGAGGTAGGGTCCAACGAGATGCTGTTTATAGGAAATAGAAGTAACCTGAAAAAGGTTTATAGACCGAAAATCAAACGTTAGAAAACAATGCTCTATAGTGACAGAGAACCAGAAAGTAATAGGGGCAACTGGACCAGTATTTATAGATAGGCTGGAAAGATAGGCTTTCATAGGTAAAGGAATACAACTAGAGATCAAGTCTAGGAGGGAGAAAGTTCAGAACCACTTAGGTAAACAGCGTGTTGCCCCCAACTCCCCCAATCTAAAAACTGAGGGTGTTGGTGAGACCCAAAAATGCACAGTGCATCCTGGGGGAGTGAAAGGGGAGGAATAATCTTAAAAAAGACAGCAGAGGATACTGTTAATGGTGTATCAGGATTTAAAACCCACATTACTTGCATCGCTCTGCTTCGATTTTATTCTGTCCCAGTTTGTCTACTTGCACTAGATCTGAGGAAACAGACAGCTATCCCAAAAATAACAGGATATAGTAATCATCTTTAATTTCCTATTAACTTAACCTGGATTCCTGTATAACTTAAACTGTTTTATCATGACTGATCTTAGTTAAACCTGGTTTGTTTGATCGCTGTTTGCTATTGACAAATTTTACTCAAAACTGTTATGATTGACAGTATCCAGTCTGAGGGTATAGGCAACTACATTGAAGATGACAAGATTCACTACGATACCCATTTCGTCTGATTACTACCTGTTTTTGAAGTTTTACACTATCTACAAAGTTTTACTTTTATTAATATTGTTATCTACTGCTATATTCAATTATACTACGTCTGACGATATAGACAATTCTGTTGAAGATAATGGGATAACACAGTAACCATTTCATGTGTTTATAGGAATATGTTTTGCCTTGCTTTGTTTCTACTTCTAATATAGAAAGGATAGAAATACATGTTAAGACTTATGCATGCGTAGAATCTATAAACAGTTTACGAGAACTGATGTTTTAACACGATAAAATGAACAAATTCTTTGAAGAAAAAGATACTACAGTACACAGTGCTTATCCCATAGTGTCATGTGAAATCCAGCAATACTATTATGTTCCGAGTGATTTTAGCCTGCTTTGGTTTAATCTCAAAATAAATGAAGATATGGATAACTGCATGTATGTTGAAGTGTATAGGATTGATAACCATATTACTAAGTTTTCGTTGGATAGCTGAACTGTTCGCAATGTTGCTGTTTGAATCCCTACTTTGTATGTTTCAGTTTTGTGTCTTGAACAACTATTTGTAAGAGGACAATATATAATCATCAACTAGTGATTTCTTAGTTTATTTTTTTTTAAAGTATGTATTATTTCTACCCTTTTTGTCTTTAAATAAAATTTTAAAAAAGATTTAAAACAAGTTATATATGGAGACTACAGGTCAAAAAGGAGGGACTTTTGCTTTCTACTTTATGTCCTACATTGTTTACATTTTGATGAACATATACTAGGCTAGTATTTTGAAACGTAATTTAAAAAAATTCTATTGTAATTTGTAGATTCAACTGTGTCAAAAGATTTAGGTTCTGTTGGGCATGGTGTACATTTTGGAGGCTGAGGCAGGAGGATCCTTTGCAAATTGGAGACCAGCCTGGGCTACAAAGTGAGCCCAAAGCCAGCCTGAACTGCATAGTGAGCTGTCTTAAAAAGACAAAAACAACAGCAACAACAAAAAACCGTTAGGTTCTTATGCTGCCTTAAAAAGTTTTATCAAGCACTTCTTCAAAACGTGTATGTGGTTATGACTGCATATGGAATTAGTTTTAAGGAATGTCTCTATACATCTAGGTAACATTAGATGCTATTAGGCTTGCTTCATAACTGCCCTTCACACTTCATGGCCCCTAATAGCTTAATGCAAATTGGACAGAGACCCTCCTCCTAATCCTGGAACTGACAACTATGACAAACTGGTGCCCTAAAACGCAAATTTCTAAGATTTAAAAATTTTTCTTCTCCCAGCCTGCTACTAATAGAACATTGGGCCCATGATAGGAGTTACTTTTCTTTCAGATCCTCACTGCCTCCCACCATTCTCTTCAAGAATGTTACAAGAGAATCAATGGGTGGTTAGCAAGACCCCCTTGGATACCAGGAGCCATTCTAGAAAAATCACTGTTCACATACCAAGGTATGCCACAAGAACAGCTTCCCAGTAGCATGTTTTAGTAATCTTAATGAAGTAGAGGGCAACACCTCCTGCAATAAAAATTCTGGTTGGAAGAAAGATCTACAGATTGTGGAAAAGTACAATTTAAAAAGCAAACACCACAGGTTCCAGGAGAACAGAAAAGCAAGCAGAGATTTCTAAATGTGGAGCTCAATTGTAAGAGTTAACTGTACCTTATTTCTCACTATCATTTGCTCTGTCAAAAATAGAACTTTCCATGTCTTGATCCATTCAGAATAAGCCACAGCAGGCACAGCACTGCTTACAGAGCAGCTGGGTCAGAAAGGCCACTCAGAGAAATGGAAAAGCAGCCAGCAGGTTTTCCTAGGGATTAGACTGCTCCAGCTTTTATCCTTCTTCCCATCTATTCTGCTGCTGAGAAAGCTGCAGGGAAGTCTCTGCCCTGCGCTCAAAATTCTTCTCTTTTCACCAGCAGGGCTGAAGCACTTTCGGAGCAGCAACTCCCTCTACTGCCCAGTATTTTTTTGCATCTTGTAGTTAGTTTAATAAATTTCAAACTCAAAAATAGTAAAAGCTAAAGCAACCCGATTCATAACATAACCAAATGGCATAAACTCAGAAGTGAGAACCATACCCAGACTGCAAAATCCTACTTTTAATTGACTTCTACACTCATCTACAAATCTCCTCCATCACAGAAAGGATTTCTTTCATTCAGCTATGAAAAATCTTTATGTCCCCTGTAGGCATAGAAAAAAGAAGCCGGACTTCTTGGTCCTTCCTCACCCATCCTTAACACTGTCTTCAGAAGAATCTGAGACAGGACTTGAGGCTGAAGAGTAGAGTTCAATGGTAGAGCACTTGTCTTATTTAATAAGATGTAAAGTCCAAGATCCACCATAACACCATACAAAAATTAAAAGTAAAAAGATAATCTTTATTCACCTTTTAAGATCCAATTTAAATAGCACTCAGGACATGGTATTAAATTTATCCAATTACCCTATTTCACTGTATTTTACACAATTTTGTGCCTAGATAACAGATACTAAAAAATTAATAGAATTCTTCCACCCTGAACTCCTGGAGATGTGTAACAATCAAGTAATATGGCTGGGTATGGTGACTCACGCCTGTAATCCTAGCACTCGGGAGGCTGAGGCAGTCTCACTACAAAGTGAGTCCAAGGCCAGCCCAAACTGTACAGGGAAACCCTGTTTTAAAAGAAAAAATTTAAAAAGTATCAGGTAACATATAATCACCACAATCTTTTTAAGGTTTTAGATTCTTCCAAATCCTTAGACATGAGACTGAGCAGCATAGGTAGTAAACACAAGAAATTCAGCTATTTAGAGGCTGAGACAAGAGGGTCCCAATTTTAAAACCAGTCTTGTCAAATTAGTGAGACCCTCCCTCAAGTACAAAATGAAGAAATAAAAGATTCTTAAAAGGCTAAGGATGCGGTTCAACACTCCCTGGGGTTAATCCCCAGCAAACACACAAACACATAAAGCATTTGGGCTGAATGTATAGTTAATGGTAGATCCTTAGCATTGGGGGAAAAAAATAAATGGAATAAGAGACAGATGCTTCTCCAAGACTGTAATAGTCTAACAATTTTCCAGCTCTGCTTGTGGTCTTTTCCAATTTCACAAGTGATCCTATTAAATCTTAATACAGTTTACTTTTAATATACTTTAAAGACATGTCTATTCTCATTACACTCTGAGCTTAATAATAAAATACAGTGTCTCAGTAAGAATACTAAACAAATAATGGAGCTCTTAAAATGTTCTCAACCTATTTTAGTTAGAAACTCTAGTGTTCCAGCACTCAGAATCAGAATTTTTTCTTCTGTGTTGGGACTAAATCTAGGATTGCATCCATGTTAGACAAATGCTCTATCACTAAGTTATAACCCCAGTTTCAAGAGTCAGAATTAATGAAGACATATACTAATTAGCAGGATAGCTTTATTTTTGTGAAGCCTGCCTTTTCTTGCCACCCAATCCTGGAAGCTTACCAGTCAAGAGTTCCTGCTTTCTACTTTATATCCTGAGAAAAGCAAAAGCCCAGGGCAATTGCTAACTTCAGAAACTTTAAAATATCAATACTAATAGTGCCAATAAGTAGCAGGTAGCAGGTTTTTAACACTGAACAGAAAGAAACAATATCATTTTTTAATAAAAACAACCCTACATTTATTGCCCCCAGTAAAAACATAAGGGTAGACAAAACAATATGAACAAACATTTTACATTTCTCCCCAGGCAAACCACTTAATCAGCTGCCTTTTTTATATGGGTACACACTGTAATGGACATTTATCTTAATTGCCTGCCATTGCTTCTCACTGCTGTCTTAATTCACTGCTCATTTCTAGTTGGAGACACTCTGCAGCAGAGTAATATTATCTCCTTTCAGCATGATCCGACCTGCAAAGATTAAAAAAAAAAATTATCAATATTCCAACTCAAATGTATATACCTCAGAATTTTGTTCCAGTTCATCAATATTTTCTTTTGTGAAGTCATGTGAACATTTTCAAATGCCATATATTATGGCTTTCCAGTTCCATTAGCACATACGCACCTTTTCAACAATAACCTAGTGCAGGTAGATACTACTTTATGAGAAATAATTTCTATAGATTAAGACAACTGATTATGCCTATCACAACATTTCCTAATACTGACTTCATAAAAATTTGGAAATAAGCTATATGTCTTGTATGGAAAAGGCAACAGGTTACAAACCCATTCTTAGCATGCTCAATGTACTAAGGACTCCACCTTGCAGTAAAAAAAATTTAAATTTTATCCAACATTTCCTAAACTTGAGAATACTTTTCTCATAAACCTCTGCAAATATTTTGAAAACCCTGGTGTTAACTGATGAGTGGCTGATCAAATGCAAAATTAAACTATTTTAATTTCCCAGACTTTTACAGATATTATTAGTCTTTCACCCAAAATGTATATTACCCTGGGAATCAACAGCTGGCAAATACTTAAGCCTAAACAGAAATACATCAATCACTTCTCAATCTATTTCCCATATATCTAGCATAGGTTCAAGAGACCCCTCTGGGTCTGGGAAAAAGAAGTCACCTAAAACCCACCTTTGATAAAAATACTGGTGAGTACATACTGAGTAACAAAGAAAGACACTGTCTAAATAAAAATCAAATACGATCTTAGCAAAAATGATTAAATGTCTCTCGATGAAATCATGAATCCTAAAGCCCCCTTGTTAACTTGATTAAAAAAATAAAATATTTGGCTGATCCGATGGCAGTGGGTTATCCGAACTTATTAACATTAGTGTCACTAAAGTTGATATGCCACTCCCCCACTGCTAAATTTGACTGGCTTTAAAAAAAAAAAAAAAAATCAAATAAAATATTCAACCAAGGAGAGTGATCCATGTAATCCCTGCTATTCAGAAGGCTGACGCAGGAGTATCAAAAGTATGAGGCCAACCTGGGCAACTCAGCAGTCCTGCTTTAAAATTCAGAAGAAACAGCTGGGGATATAGTTTAGGATTATAGCACCTGCCTACCATTCATAAACCCCTGGGTTTAATCCTCAGTAGGGGGCATGGTATTCACGTGTTAAGTTTCTACTACATTCCAGAAACTAAGTTAAGTATACACACACACACACACACACACACACACACATCCCTGATCCACACATATGTGTGGTGCTCCACACATACCTGTAACTCTAGCTTTCTGGAAGGCTGAGACAGGAAGACTGAAAAATCCCAGTCTAGCCTGGGCAGCTTAATGACTCTGTGAGATCTTGTCTCAAAATAACAAAAATGGTAGGGAATACTATGCAGGCCCTGAGGTTCACTCAATCCCAAGTAAACAAAACAAACACATAAACATGATTATACACTTTCGGGATATTTATGGGTAAGGCATTAATAAAATAATTCCACTTGTGAATGTTTCACAACCAAGTCTGAGATCACATGTTGTTCTCTCCCACTCTAAGCAATACAGAAATAAGCCCTTCCCCTCAAATTCACAATCCTTCTCTCTTGGTCTCTCAAGCAGCTATTGTGTGTGTGTGTCAAACTTCAAATGCAGTTTATTTCACATAGGGTAAAACGCAAAATACTGCACAAGTAATACTTCTGCTTGCCAAAGTCCATTTATAAAATTAAATGAAATTAAACCTGTGTCGCTTAGAAACCATGAGAAAACACTCTTTAGAAAAAAATCATTCCTGATAAGAGATGGGTAAATATTTCCGTCCAGCCACGGTTTTCTTACCAACTAAGGAGCTACTAGGATTACAGGTATGTGGCATCACAGTCAGCTGTGATGTGAGTTCTAAAGACATAGGGAGCAACATATACATAAACTGATGGTGTGAAAACTGCAGATTCAAAGAAGTAGAGAAAGGCTGGGGATATAGCTCAGCGGCATAAGCGCCTGCCTTGCAAGCAGGCAGTCGTGAGTTCGATCCCCGGTACCGATAAAAAAAAAAAAAAACAATAACAAAAAAAAAAAAAAAGAAGTGAGAAAAGACAAGAGTGGATAAAGCTCAGAAAATGAGTCAAGAGTATGATACAAAATGAGCAGGGGGAGATAAGCGCAGATCATAAAGGACTTTGTGAAAGAGTTTTATCATAAGAGCGACAAAGTCAGTGAAGCATTGCAAGCAAAGGGATGACAAGGTCAGACAGACATTTTAAGATGACTGTAAGCCGGGTATTTAGTTCAGCAGCATAAGCGCCTGTCTGGCAAGCACTTGATCATGAGTTCCATCCCTGGTACCATTTAAAAAAAAAAAAAAGATGACTATAAACTTTGGAGAACCCAGAGAGGGTTGAAGTAGTTGCAGAGACGTCAATGAAGGCAAACTGCAGCCATCCAATTGCAGAGAACACTGAACAGTTGTAAACAGTGTGTACAAAGAAATTGAGTTTGATTTCTGACATGCTGCGTTTGAAGGGCCTTCGAGACCTTCATGGAGGGATGCTACAGAGGCTCAGAGATTTGAGCTACACAAACAAGTTTGGTTGTCAACATATAGAAGATATCCAAAGCTGTTCTCGAGTGCCAGGAAAGAAAGAATAGAACCAAGCCTCAAGCAACTCTTAAGTTAATGACTGGGCCTCAAAAAAAATGAATATACAAAAATCTGAAAAGAACAGGAGATGAAAAATGAAACCCTGAGTACAAAGGTACCTTAATATAAACTTAACTCTTTTCACAAGTCTGATCACAAACCCAGCTGGATGAGAACCAAATCAAGTTTTCCTGTAAGGTCAACATCAAACCTATCACTGAATTTGTTGTTGTTGTTGTTTTGGTACTGGGGATAGAACTTATGACCTTGTGCTTACAAATGCAGGCCAACACTGAGCTAAATCCTCAGCCCCTATCGCTGAAATTTGATTTGGTTCTTATACAATTTGGATTGTGACCATAAGTTTGGGCTGGGGATTTAGCTCAGAGGCATAAGTGCCTGCCTTGCAAGTGAGTTCAATCCCCGGTACCAATAAAAATAAATAAATCAATAAATAAAATAAAGTTCATGTATCAAGATACTACAGTAGTATGCCACCGAGCCAAGGAAACAAGGGAGCAGTCAACAGTGCCAATTTCTGTTAAAATACAACGAACAATAATAATGACCATTATATTTAACACCATTCATCTTTCATGACCTGGGTTAAAACTGAATAGAGACAGAAGCAGAAAGGGTGGGGAAGGAATTAAGTGGCAGAGAAAAACTTCAAGTGTTTTCTTCTTCCAAAAGTAACTTCTCAGATGCAAAGGAACCTTATCTTTTATCTTTTTAAATTTAATTTTATTTTTTTTGTACTGGGAATTGAACTCATGACCCTGTGTTTGCCAGGCAGGCCAGCTATAACCCAGCCCAAAACTAAATTTAAGTATGAACTGAGTTGCAACTCATTTCATACTGTGAGTGAATTAAACACTTTCAGAATCCCGTAAAATCAACTATATTTCTCACCCAGTTGTTTTCTTGACTTGGTTTTAGAATGAATTTCTTCTGCATCATCTAAAACAAGGTTCATGTACTCATCAAAACCCTAGAGAAGAGAGACAACTGACAGTCATTTTCAAGTAAATCATAACCAGATCATTCTAAAAGATTATGTATCCATTCTTCTGGTAATCTTCCAACTGAAACACCTGAAACCTCTTTTTAAATAAGAAAATAACCAAGAAGATCAGAATGTAGCCCAAATTATTCTTCAATCATTTGAACTTAGTATCCATTAGCTATGCCGGCAAGTCACCTTCCCTTTTATAAAGTACCCAACGTACAGTATTTTACATATGTATATTCGTAGCAATAAGCCAATGCTCTCCCTATTTTTCTCCACAAACTACTATGCCTGTTTGCCAACTGGTAATCAAAGAAAGGGAGATTAATAGAATCACTGATCTCTACACAGAATACCGGTGTCCTAACATAATACTTCCAACGATATTTTATTTTTCCTTAAAACATTACTGAGGTAGGGAATGTAGCTCAATGGTAGGGCAGATGCTCAACATGCATGCAGCTCTGGATTTAACACTCATCATCACCAAACACAAACAGGACCACTGCTTAGCGTACCTTCCTACCCCAGAAGATTAACCCCACCAGCTCTATTCAGGTTATCACTAATATAAACTATGCATTAATCCCCACCCCTCTTTTGTCCCCTCCCTTCAATACTTGTACTGTTTAAATTGTTATAAATTTAATTTCCTTTTTTTTTTTTTTTTTGGTGCCAGGGATAGAAGTCATGACCTTGTGCTTGCCAGGCAGGTGCCTGTGCAACTTGGCTAAAGCACTGACCTTATTTCCCTGTTTTCTGAATTATCTAACCCTTAACACCTACAAGAGGCTAACTACTATGCCCCAAAAAGCTTTCCTGGGGCTAGATCTTTTGTATACTGCTCTATAGAATCTGTTAACAAACCTCTTTGTGAAAAAGTCTGGATACTCACAATAATACAGCCCTCTATCCGCATATTCACTTGCTCGTATAGCCACACCTGAATCCGGGATCTCTGAAATAATAATAAAAATAGCTGTATTTACAAAAGTTAAGAAGCTCTAGTCACTTGATTAAACAATAAAGAAATGAAACTTGAAACATTCCAATGAATATAAGCTAACAATTTCAACCAATGAGTCCACATCTAAGAACTGATAACCAAGACTGGTAACCTGCCAAGAAACATTTCCTTTTAATAAATGCTACACCGAGACTGCCCAAGCTATTAATTTTTCCTGTAACTTTGAGATGTAATTGTATTTTTCTCCTTCATTTTTTAAAAATATTTTGAGGTAAATATTTAATATTTAATTTAATATTTATTTAGCTCTGGCTAAACTGCTCAGGCTGGCTTTAATCTTCGTCCTCAGCCTCCCAGAGAACTGGGACTACAGGCATGTGTCGCCATGCTCCACCTTTCTTACCAAGACCAGGCTCAATACACTTAACCTTGAAAACTGCTAATGGTGCAAGCACAAAGCAGTAACTCCCCCCTGACTAGGGTTTTTCTTCTTATCTGTTACAACAAAATAGAGGCCCACAAGAGTAACATTTCTAGGTTCTCAGTTTTCCATGTCTCACACATAACAATCAGGGAAGGGTTCCTCAATTCTGAGGATTAAATTACAATGCTTGCCGGGCATGGCGATGCATACCTGTAATCCCAGCATTTGGGAGACCGATGCAGGAGGATTTCTATTGAGTTCAAGGCCACCCCGAACTGCACAATGAGACCCAGTTTAGGAACAAAACACTACAGTGGTTTAAAATCAATTTATTTTTCAATTCTATTGCTACATAATCTAAATCTAAATTTTAATTTTGGTTGCTAAAATCTTCCCAAGAACAGCAGCTGCCACTAAGGCCGCTAAATCTATTTTTTCTTTCTTTCTTTCTTTTGTGTGTGTGTGTGTGTGTGTGTGTGTGTGTGTGTGTGTGTGATTCCTTTACTTAGGTTTTCCAACAAATACTAAACAGCCCATTATGACCTGATTTAAGGTGACTGGGTTATTCTTTCCTAGAGTACAGATGTTGAACAGTTTCCAATGGCCTTACTCGACAAAAGTACGAATTTCAAAACTGGGAATGGAGCTTGGCTGGAGAGCTTGCCTAGCACCCATAGGGTCCTGGCTTCCATCCCAGTTCTGCCAAATCAATGAAAAGTATCAATGCCCAAATGCCACTGTTGCATCTGCCAATAAACACTGTGGAGTACTTTTGATCTCTGAAAGTAATGAAGCATACACTTTAAATTGGCACAGACATGTATCACCTTATTTACCGAAGATCTCTTCTGACCCTTCCTTTCAATCATCCCTCCAACCTCGGGAATTTCATCTATTTTAAAACTCTAGAACATCATGATCAAGAAAGTTGATACAGATGAACAAATACATTCAACTTTTGCTTAAGTAGTGATTACAAACCAATTCACACGCGACTTACGTACATTCTGCAAGTATCTGAAGATGAGGTTCTGCACCACTGGAATTAAGGAAAAAAAAAAACCACAGCAGCGTCTGCTCCCCGAATCCGAGGGTTGACCCCAACTCGCCCCCTCATCTTTGTTCTGACAGCGAAGTCGGGAAGCTACACGCGGCAGGCTGAGAAGCGCCTCGCCCCGGGGAACGGCCAAGACTCCCTCGAAGGACCCCTCTCGCATCTTAACCCTCCCAGACCCCGAGCCTCCTTCCGCCCGTACAGCGCTCGCCAACTCCGGGTTCCGCTCAGCGCCCACCCCCGGCCTCTGCCCGCCGCTCCGCAGGCCCCGCCTCAGCCCCGTGCCAGCGGCTCCCTCCGCGGCCGCGCTCTCCCCGCCCTCGGGCCCGCACGCCGTGCCCTCGGGCCCGCGCGTTCGTCCCAGCCTCCCGGCCCCCGACTCCCGGTCTGACGTTCGCGCAGGATACGATGGGCTGCACCATCACCTTCTGCACTTTCTGGCCCTGGCCCCTGTACGCCATGGCGGAACCCGACAAGGACCACAGCACCCACCACGCTAGCTCTAACGGCAACTTCCGGAGCGGGCAAACCGAGAGCGGAAACGCATGGCTGCCGAGAGGCAACCGGGGCGGCTCCTGAGAAAGGCCTCTCTACCCATAGAGGCGCATCGCTCCTATGCTCGACGGCCTCCGGAGGAGGCCAAATTGAGGCAACTGTGCTTTGGGACCTGAGCTTAGCGCCACCTGGAGGGAGATGGAGGAGGTGCCGAGGACGGGCTTGAAGCGGTAGACCGATGCCTGGGCTTTCCCGTCTCCATGGGCTTTTATTTTTTTGCTTGCCAAACTATGGGAGGCTGAGACAGGAGGATCACAGATTTAGGTCCAGCCTGGGCGGTTTCTGACTGAGATTCAGTTTCAAAATAAAAAATAAAAAGGGTAGGGGACTTATCTCAGTGGGAAGGCATTAGGTTCAGTCCCCAGAACCGCCAATCAATCAATATATAAATAAATAAAATCTAAAAATAAACTTCCTCATGGGATTGAAAATAAACTGAAATAATAGTGTATAGGTTCTCTTAGGACTACATGGGATTTTAGACCTGAGAAAGCCATGGTAAACTGAAAATATCAGTTTAAAGTATATTTAGCTTGCTGTGGTGCACACACCGGTCTTCTCAACACTTGGGAGGCTGAGGCAAGAGGATCAACTCATATCCGAGCCAGCCTGGCTTACATGGTAAGTTCAAGGCCAGTCTGAACTATGTAGTGAAATCCTGTCTCAAAAGCCAACCAAACAAAAGAATTTTGCTTTTTATATTAAAAGTTTTGATCCACCTAGAATTTATCCCAGCATACCTGGGGCTGATACAGTTTTCTAATTCCTGGAAAATTTAATGAAGCAGAGTGACTCAGATTATTATTTTTTTTCCTCAGAATTGGGGATCAAATTCAGGGCTTCACATATGAAAAGCAGACATTGTACCACTGAGCTACATTCCCAGTCCTTTTTGAGACAGGGTCTTGCTAAATTTGGGTGATTGCCCAAACTGGCTTCAAATTTGCAATCCTCTTGCCTCAGCCTTCTGAGTAGCTAGGTGTCTTGGCCACTTTTCTCATTGCTGAGACAAAATACCCAACACCCACAAGTTAAGGGAGGAAAAGTTTACTCACAGTTTGTGGAGGTTTTAGTCCATAATCGACTAGCTCCAAGGCTTTGCAAAGGAAAAACAGTCTATCGCAGGGCAGGACAGGCAGAAGGCAGTGAGCAGCAGGCAACAGCAGCAGAAGTAGCATGCAGCTTCTTTCTCATATTCCATCCCAGCTGCCCAGGGTGGGGCATCCTTAATCCAGCATCACACAGCCGCCTTCAATACTCCCCACTTATGACCCCACGAGGCTTTGTGGGAGGCAGTGAGGTACAGCCATAACGCTGGCTTACAAGCATTTGCCACTACCTCCAGGTCATGTTTCTATTTTAGATCTTTTTAAGAAATCAGTTTTAGTAGCCCCCTGAGCAAGAATGAAACGAAGCAGGGGCTTGGAGGACGACTGAGGGGTGGTTAAAGATCACGTTAAAGCAAACTTACCACTCTGGTCCTTGACAGTTGCAGACTGATTTTGTCTTTGGCGTAGTTGATTTACTACTCACACTCAGTTCACTCCTGTTACTTTTAAAATGATTCCCTTAGTTCTTCAAGAGCAGAGATTTGGCTTATCCTGATCTATCTTTAGTGACCCATAGGCTTAATGGTGGCTGAGTTCTGCATGCTCTAATCTGAGCCCCAGGGGGTAAGAGTCCAAAACAGTGTGGCAATTAATGAAAAAATTTTTTGAAGTTTTGGAATTGAACTCACTGCCTTCATACTGCGATATATGCCTAGCTTTTCAATTTTGTGACAGGGTCATGCCAAATTGTTAAATTGTCCAGACTGGGCTCACCCTCCTGCCTCAGCCTCCTAGAGCACTGGAATCACAGTACTGTGTCACCACTTAAAGAGTCTCATAGCTTCTGAAATCTTGATTAATCCTCCTTGAGCTTCTAACCAAAGCAAGTGACCTCAGGTAAGGAGTCCTTCCGATTTACTTTTCTCTTTCCTTGAAATTTTGTTCTTTGTTCCATTTGAATTTATTTATTTATTTGTTTTGGTACCAGGGATTGAACTCATAACCTGTGCTTTCCAGGAAGTTGCATACACCAAGCTAAATCCCTCGCCCCCTTTTGAATGTTTTTAATCCATCTGATTCCCTCACTCACATAATTCAACAAATAGTTTTTTTTTTTTTAACACTGTTTTTCAGCTAGATTCTATCTTGGCTCTGCTTTCTCACAGTCATATCTCTAAACTGCTGCTCTGTTCCTGAGGACAAATCTGAAGCACGGGGCAAGACTAACCTTTAATTCACTGTTCTTGGCTTATTGCCACAGCCTCTTCAACATCTTAGCTGTTAAATCTAACTAAGCCATACTAGTAATAGGCTCATGGGGTATGTCTTCTGAGTCTTAAATGTTTTTTAAATATAAAATTACGTCCTGGATTCCTGTTCTTAAGAATTATGGCTGATTGTCAGGTGTAGTGGTGCACACCTGTAATTGAGCACTTGAGAGACTGAGACAGGAGGATCATGGCAAGTTTGAGTCTAGCGTGGGCTACAAAATGAGCTCACGGCCAGCCTGAACTGTCTATAGAAAGACACTGTCTCAAAAAAAAAAAAAAAAAATCATGGCTTGTTTTGCCCTCTTTGTTGTATATTAGGAAAAACGGATAAAGTTTTAAGTATGATGCATGCTACTTGTCTTAGTTATTTTTTATTTGTCGCTGAGACAAAATATCTGATCCTCAAAGGTGGGAAAGGAAAGGTTTTTTTTTTATAGGTTTTGGGGGTTTTAATTTATACTTAGTTGGCTCTAAGGCAGGGTGGCATGGCAGGGCCACAGTTTATGGCAGCTATAAACAGCAAGGCAGAAACCAGCAAGAGACCAAGGCCTGCCTTCTTCCTGCCATTATATCACATCCTGGCTCCACCCCTATGTGGGGATAGCACTGACACTATCAATGTAAGCACTATACAGTGAACCAATCACAGATGTATAATGTAAATGCATGAGGCCTGGGAGCCACTGACATAAACCATGACAGTACTTAATAATTATACCTATTAAATTTTTTTTTTGTGTGTGTGTGTGTGTTTTTCATTTTTATTGGTACCGGGGATTGAACTCATGACTGCCTGCTTGCAAGGCAGGTGCTTATGCCGCTGAGCTAAATCCTCAGCCCCATCTATTAAATTGTTAAAGATAATTGTTAACACATTCAAATGTCTGAGTTGTGGGAACTTTCAAAAGATTTGTGCTGCTTCCGAAGATCAGGCCTTTTTATTTTTTGTGATACGAAGGACTGAACTGAGTCTCATGCATGATAGAGACCAGTGAGCCAAATCTCCAGCTTTTTTTCAGATAGGGACTTGCTAAATTGCCCAGTCTGGTCTTGAACTTGAGATTCTCCTGTTTCAGCCTTCTGAGCAGCTAGGATTATAGGCATATGTCATCATCCTCAGTTGTCTAAAATCAAGGGGGTTTTGTTTTGTTTTGTTTTAAAACTCTTTAAAAAGCTCAAATAGGGTTGAGAATATAACTCAGCTGCACAGTGTCTGCCTGGTAAGTGCAAAGTTGTGAGTTCCCTGTTACTCAAAAAACAACAGCCCCCCCCAAGCCTCTCAAATAATCAAACCCGATGGTACTTAAAAATATATGTATAGTCAAATCTGAACACAATATCCTTGAAACTATGGGGGAATAAAGCAATGATTTTTTAATTTCATTTGTGTTTTATGAAACATGGTCTCACTATGTGGGCCAGGCTGGCCTTGAACCCATTATATAGCCCAAGCTGGCCTTCAATCGTGGTGTTCTTCCTGCCTTAGTCTCCTGAGTGCTGGAATTACATGTGTGCACCACTATGCTCTGTAGGACACAATCTGGACACCTCTCCTTGAATGCAGAACAACTACTTCAGCTTTAGTTAAAGCGAGCCCTAGTTCCCTGTACTGATATATACAGAGGTGGCTATGCTATTTCCTTTTATCTTCAATTGGCTTTAAGCAGTACAAGTAAGGCCAACTGAGGTACTGACATATCATCCTTAAACGTAGCTTGCATTGTGTTCCTTGTAAGTGATTAAGCACAGCGAGATAGCAGAGCTACATAGCTCCAGAAATATCAGCTGGGTTGGAGCCTCAAAATAAGAGGCCATGATTTCCCAGGGCACAAAAGTTTACATATCAGAAAGTGAAGCAACAGCCTGCTAAATTCATTCATATGCTAGCCCAACTGAGTTATGCAGGTTGGTCTTTCTGCCTAACCCTTCTCCCTGCATATTGCAAAGGTGCCTTGCTCATCACAGGGCTAGCTCAGCTCACATTACTCAGGTAATTCCCACCTTACTGACTGTCACTCATTCTTGAGCCAGCTCCCTTCTTTGAGAGACAATAAATTTGGGTGAGGCTTTGGATTTTTGTTCCATGTATCCTCACCTGGACCAGACTCAGGATCTCTTGGCTGCCTGTAACTTTGAACATATCTTAGTGTCTTTATTCTTGCCATAAGCTGCAGTGGAGGTAGTAGGCTGGAACTAACTCACTGGGATTCCAAGAATGTTTCAATGGGATTACAAATATAAAACTTCTCAAATTGTGAGGAATATGAAAAAGGGAACCACAGTAATTGGATTACAATACTAAAAGGAACTATAGTATCTAGATTATAATATCCAATATTGGGATTGGGAACAACTCCCGATTGTTCTTTCAATGAGTGCAGGGCTTAATGTCAAAATGGGTATATGAACTAAAAAAGTACTCAACAAATGTTAGTTTACAACTGCCAAGCATGAGATCCTGTCTCAAAAAAAAAAAAAAAAAAAAAAAACTCCAAAAGATTAATAAATGTTACCTATTAAGCAGTTACAACTGAGGACCATGCATCTTTTATTGTTAAACTGCTAAATTCAAAGCCATCGAATATTTTTAATACTTTTTTTTTTTTTTTGGTCTTTTTTCCTTTTTATCGGTACCAGGGATTGAACTCACAACTGCCTGCTTGTAAGGCAGGCGCTTATGCCGCTGAGCTAAATCCCCAGCCCCCGAATGTTTTTAATACTTGTGGAATCTTTTTTCTGGCAAAATGAGGGGAAACTTCCTCTTCCCACAGAGCTAAGTCCCCAGTTCTTTTTAAAATTTTGAGAAGGATCTTACTAAATCATTTAGGCTGGATTAGAACTCATGATCTTCCTGCTTCAGCTTCCTACAGTGCTGGGATTACAGGTGTGTACCATCATGCTTGGTAAAGGAACAAATGTATTATTTATTTTTATTGATACTGGGGATTGAACTCACCACCCGTGTGCTTGCAAGGCAGGCGCTTATGCTGCTGAGCTAAATCTCCAGCCCAAGGCACAATTTTAGAAATTTCTTGATCAGTATATGTCAAGCTTGGTGTTACTATAATTACTTCAGTCCCATCTATGCTGGCTCCAAACCTTGAGATGAAAATATACAGTTTGGCATATGGGAGATGATCCACTGGCATTTAGGATTCAAGTCAGAACTCTGGGTCTTTATCTCGAGATAAATATATGGACTATAAAACTCTTGGTATTTATGGATATGGCCAAACAGCAACACTTGGGCCTGTTTCTTATAAAATTGAAACCTGCTGTCACAATGATGTAGTTCTGCTTTTTGTGAAAGGTTGACTGGACTTCTTGGGAACGCCCTCCCTTCAACCCATGCTGGGGACTGAGCCTGGCCTTGTACACTTTGGTCACTAACAACTTTGTATGTACTCTCATTACCAATAGCTATACATAGGGGCTGGGGATTTAGCTCAGCGGCATAAGCGTCTGCCTTCCAAGTGTGCGGTCACGAATTTGATCCCTGGTACCGATGAAAAAGACCAAAAAAAAAAAAAAAAATCTGAACAATAGCTATACGTATTGAAAATATCTGTACTCTCAATTCAACTTTTTTTTGGTACCGGGGATCAAACTCATGACCTTGCGCTTGCCAGCCTGAATTCCACTTTTTATTTCCACTGTTTGATTGAAATTTCAAATTCACTGAATGAATATAAGATCACTTTTAATCACTTCCTCTTTTTAAAAAAATTAATGGTATCACTTCAGTCACAATGAGGACTAAGTTTCAGTGTTAGAAACTAAATAAGTCTCAAAACCAAACCCTAGCCCATACTCTAACCCACACCCTAACCTTTACCTGTGCCCTCACGCAGACTCTAATCCTAACCCTATCTTCTACACTAATCCTGACCCTACTATAACCCTCATCCAAACCCTAAGTCTAACTTGAACTCACACTTAAACAGTATCCCACACACAAATTCAAACGTGAACCCATACAGACTGGAACCTTGAATGAGAATCCGACTCTTGAATAGACACTTGAAACTAAACTCTCAACACCAAACCTAACCCCAAACATAAATCCAAACCATAATCCTAGTGAACAGGAATCTAAACACATATGTGAATATGAACTCTATCTAACCAGAATACAAATCCAAACATAAACCTGAATCTGAATCCGAACACATAGCTGACTCTAACAAACCCAAACACATAAACATGAACCCTATACCTCACATGACCCAAATACAAACACAACCTATATACAAATCTGAATACAAATCCAGAATTGAATGAAACCTAACAAACCTGAACATAATTCTGGACTTAAATACAAACACAAATGCAAACATGAATCTGAACATTAATTAATGGAAACACAAATGCCAAATTCATTATCAAGTAATTCACAAAAGTATCAATGATCTTGATACATCAACCATATATGAATTATGTATCAATTATATAAAACTGATATACTATGTATTACTGGTATTCCTTAGTCAATGACCAACTTCTGTGATTAAGTCTTTAAATGAATTGGCCAAGACATTAGAAATTGTACATAATATATAATTACAATATTCAGAACAAAAAATGGTCAAAGGCAACTCTAACTTGATGACTTTGCTTTTATTTGCATAACTTTTACATGCAGCACTGTAATATATAACAAAAAACTACAGTACTGTACCATATAGTACAATCATCAGATAGTACAGTACTGTACAAACAAGGTATACTGTACAAAAAAGGACACTGAGGTTCTATAAACAAGCTGCACAGAACTGCACAAAAAAAGACAGGTTTTACGGTTGTAAATCCAAACAGTGTGCCTCAATCATAAGTCCAAACACTTGTTAAACAAGTAAGTTATTAAATGAGGAATATCTCTATATACCAATTGTATGTGTATATATATATATATATATATTATGTATCTACTATATATCAATATAATTGATATATTATGTATATGTCAATTGTTATACAGCAATTATTTAGGTATATCACTATATTAATTTTGATAACGGTAAAAAATGTACAATTTGTACTCTCTGAATGACCTGTTTTAGCATCAATAGAACAAGCCAAATACTGGGTTATTCCTCTAAAACAATTAGAAAACAAATTTGTACTCAAAATACAGAAATAATTCTAAATATCAACAACTAACAATCTAACAAAAAATGGAAAATATCGGAACCACACCACATACCAGACCACAGAAAACAAAATCATGGCAATCAATTCAAGGTACAAGATCAATATTGTTCTATGCATGAACCCACTAAAAAAAGAAACCAGTAAACAATCCGATTAATGTGTGAAAAAAATCAAATGCCTAAGAATAAATTTAGCAAAGAAAGTAAACATGCCCTATAACAAAAATGGTAATAGTAAAAAAAGAAAACAGAAAGAGGTTAAAGTTAATAGAAAATAGACACTTCCCATTACTGGATAGGCACAGTCAACCAATACTGTCAAAATGTCCATTTTCCAATAAATAGTAGATAAGTTTAATGCAATTCTCATCAAACTACTTTGTGTTCTTTACAGAACCATAATGCACACTCCTACATTCATATGAAATCAAAATACACCAAAGAACTCCTGGGCATAACAGCAAAACAGGAGGAATGATTTTTCAGATGTAAAGTTATGCCAAAAACCTACCGTGATACATACATCATGGTACTGGCACAAAAACATACGTATTGATCACAGTGAGTGAAGAAACCACCCAATACTTTTGGACACTTGGACGAAGAGACAAAGAACATGGAGAAGGACACTCTCTTCAACAACAGTGCTGGGAAAACTGGGGATTCCAAAGCATGATGAAATCCAGACTTGTATCTCACACACACTACGAAAACCAAGTCCAAAGAAATAGAGAACTAGATATTAAACTAGAAACGCTGAATCTGCTGGAAAACAAAAAAAGTAAAGCTCTTGAAGACACGGGTATGGGCAAGGACTTTTTAAATAGTCGCACAAGCAATACTACAAAGAATCAACACACGAGATTATGTAAAATTAAGGTTTCTACAGGAAACAACAAATAGGTTGGATAGAGAACCTCCAGAGTGAGAAAATCTTTGTCAGCTATTCTGTGGACAGAGAATTAACATCTAGAACATATAAACATCTCAAAACCATTAGACACCCCCAAAATAAAAGTTCAAGTTTCAAAACTCAAAAAGAATAGATACTTCTCGAACCATTAAAGGCTACAGAATGCAGAAAAAAAGTATGTTCAGTATCTTTGTCCAAATCAAAGCCCACTTATGTTTGAGCTGATTCCAGTAAGCATGCTATCATCAAGAACTCAAAAATTGCAGGTGGATTGTAGGGAAAGGGGGACCATGCTGCAAAGTTGACTGGAAAAAGAACACATGATGACTCTGGAGACTCCTCCAAAAAACTAAAACCAGAGATCCTTTTGACTCTGGTGTAACTCTTCTGGGTATCTTCACAAGATATAAGCACATCTTACAGAGATACATGCATTCCTTGTTTATAGCAGCACAATTCATAATACCTAAATTTTGGAAACAATCTGCATATCCGTCAACATGCATTTTTAAAATTTAAAGTTATATAGCTACAACTGTACACAGTTGTGATTAATTTTGAATTTGTCCTTGGAAGTCTTCTAAACCCAAACAGAAACAGGGTTTACTTGAAAGGCCAGTGACGGTTTGGCTGCTAACCAAGGTGGGTCTGGGCCAAGTATAAAACTACTTAATTTACCACGTCAAGACTTTCCTATACCAGTTTTATTTGAAACACAAGTAAGTATTTCCTTTCTGTCATGGCAGATGATTTCAAATAATGCTGAACATGAATCACTAATACAAGGGTTTTAAATATGAAACAAATTATTTTTAAAAAAGCAAAAGAATAACAGTTATATACAAAAGGTATCTGGAATCCTTAAGATGATTCCAAATATGCAATGAGTTTATAAAACCTGTGGTGAAACCAGAACATTCCACCCGCTTTGGAAAAGGGGTATAATACAACATTCAGTCAGCTGAAGATGGATTGGTAGAGGTGTGTCTGTACATAAATTTCAAGTTATTTTTACTTGTGCAGAATCATCCAGATCTTCCCAAGACTGAATGGGCAGTCCTGTGGCTTTCTTCCTTTTCATATTCCCAACAAGGCTACATGAAGTTCAACTCTTGATGAGCCACTTACAACAGCAGTTCCTTAGGAGCCAACATGACAGGTGGTTCAATTTCTTTATGAGAAACAAAACTAGCCACCTACTGCGAAATATCAAAATGGACAAGTCCTTCTTTCCTCTTCCTGATTATGGACAGTGTCTCCCTTCAAGACTATTATCCCCATCGTACTTGTTCCTTCACAAGTCTAAACCTTGAGGTGATATGAAGGAGACCAACATGAATTAAAGAAAAACTCAGATTAGTGAAGAAAACTGGAAGGTATACAATACACCCCCAGAGCATCTCAAAATCCCAGCTACAGTACAATTCAATGTACTGCTACAGTCCTTAGAGAAATAATTGCAGCTTTAATGAGTTATTTTTTTTTCCTGTTCAGTTGGTTAAGGGCACCAAATAAACACTGGACAAGAGGAGCTTGTTGAAAGTTAGAAATTTAAAAACTGACCACTTTATGTCCCTGTGACAATTCAATGCCAATGGAGGCTGAAGGGAGAAGGGACAACTTTCATATTAAAAAATAATTCCTCTAAACTAGGGACTCCCGGAAGTAGAAAATCAGGTTTAGGGGACCCCTGAGGCACTTTAAAGCCTTTTTTAAAATTACAGTAATAATAAATTAGCTATTGCTCTTCAGAGGCATACAGAGCAGCTTAAGCATCAAAATCAGGTCCAAAGAATTATGTCCATATTTTTTCTCTTGAGCTACTCAGGTCTCTTTAAAGCTTAGTTGAAATCTCCAAATACCATTAAAAAGACATGTACGTTGACACAGACTGAATGGGGTCTCAGTTTAGTGGTAGTATGGAATTTGGTCCACAATGGTAGCAGCTGTCTTTATCCATTTCAAACATAGATAATATTAAGTACATTAAGACAATACGTAAAAGAAAGAATACAACAAAGAGGAAAACAGTTAAACATGACAAACACCTCAAGGAATCACTAAGTTCTTTTACACCCTTTCAACTCAGAGCTCCCTCTCAGTCTTTTTTTTTTTGTGTGTGTGTGTGTGTGTGGAGAGAAGGGTATTACAGAACTTTTTTCTCAAAGATACTTAACAATAACATAAAATGCTTAGCAAGGGACTTGAAAAATCTAACCCCGAGGAATCCAGAACACAAACAGTAATGCAGAGGTATACTTCTGATTTGGGGCAAATTCAAGAATAAAGAAATAATCATCTCAGGTACATGTTAGAATACAGAAACAAGTCTTTTTTTGGTGATTTTTTTTTTTTTAAGTGTTCTCACTGCCGCCTTCAGCTATCAATCATTTCTGAGAGTTCAAGCAGAAGATCGTCTTCATCTTTCCCAGGATCCAGGTCAATCTCAGCTTCTAATTTGCCTCCTGAAATCTCCCATATTAGCTTCTCAAAATCATCCTCCACAGAGAGGGGGGGCTTTCCTGTTGAGGCAGAGCTGAGTCGGCGAGTTTTTGTGGCCATCTGGGATGAGGAAGGCCCAGATACTTCTGGGGGTATGGGGTCTGAAGAGGACTGGGCAGGAGGCAGCACAAAACTGTAAGAAATAAAAAGGTGATCAGAATTAAGCCTCCCTCTTTTCAATGGTTAGCTTGAACTCATCTCAGGGACACAAGGAGTTAACTAAAGTTGTTTCTGAGCACATATATAAGACAAAATTGCTTTACTGATTTGAGAGCAAGTATGTTTACAATTTAAGGGTATAATTTACCCAGGTACTTAATGACTTTTTTTTTGTACCGAGGATTGAACTCACAACCTTGTGCTTGCCAGGCAAGCGCTGCGCTGCTGAGCTATCCCCCAACCCAAAAACATCTTTTAGATAATGTAGACAAAAGATAAACAATGGCACCAAAGAAGAGTAATACTGAATTTTCTGTTTTCTTAACAATTAATTTGAAATTCAACAGAGTTATGTAAATGTGGCTAAACTTTTAAGTGTTACTCTCTAGAAAACATAAACAATATAGTAGCATACAGCTTGAGTTAGGAAAATTATCTACTATGGCTAATCTTGATGCTTGGGTGGACATAGTCTTCCTAAAAAAAGAAAAAAGAAAAGAAAAATTACAATGCATTACCTGTCTCTAGGTGTTTCTGTCTCAGGCACAGTGACTGATTCGTCCTCAGAGGTCAGTGGGACAACAGCCTACACAATGAAGAATAAGATAATTCATAAGAGTCAGGTGTTAATTAGAGGTTATCCATTTTCTTTTGCTATCTTTTCAGAATCATGGCTCTCTACCCACCCCCCCATCACACCTCCTTAGGGGACTGGGACTTGAACCGCAGGGCTTATATATGCAAGGTAAGCAACCCCAACCAGCTGACTATTGTTTTTTATTGTGGTGGTTTGTTTTGTTTTGTTTTTGTCTTTTTGAGACAGTCAAACTATGCAGTTCAGGCTGGCCTTGAGCTCACTTTGTATCCCAGGCTGGTCTTGAACTCTCAACAATCCTCCTGTCTCAGCCTCCTGTGTGCTGAGATTCTAAGTGTGCACTACCATGCCTGGCTTTGTTTTCTGCAGACAGGGTCTGACTGCATAGTCCAGGATACTCCTGCAAGGTGGGATTATAGGTATGTGCTACCAATCCTGGCAGCTATCATTCTTCACAATGAGGAATCCAAGAATTAATAATCCACAGGCTAAGTATACAAGTAAGCAAAATATCTTGCCACCCAAAAATTAGCTTTCAAAAAATCCTGTCCCAACACCTCACAAATGTCTAAGTGTAAATGTGAAATACAGTAGTAACAAACTAAACATTTGAAATGCACAGGAAATGCAGGAAGTGCTACACACAAAGAGCCAAGGAGAGTCAATCTTTCCTATAGCACTGGAACAAAGCACCCTCCAGTGCATGTGCTGCTTACCACAGCTGCTTTTTTGGCTGGGATTTCCTGCAGGACAGTGCTGGAGCTGAGTGGCTTCACTGCTGCAACAACAGCAGGATGCACCTCTGCAGCCTTGCGTTTTTGGGCCAATTTGGGAGATGAAACAACTTTAACAACAGATGGCTTCACATTTACTTTGGGTTTAGCTACAAGGAACAGAAAATATCTGATTAACAGCTATATTAGCACCTTTTATATGAAGAATAACTCAATAAAATACCAAAATTTCTATTGTACTTGAGATAACAAAAAATAAAACTCCAGACTCAATTATCCACACGTGATCCAGAACCTGAGATGTAATACACACTCAATCCTTTTCACTAGTTCTTGAATTGGTCACTATTCAATTCCCTGGTATCTTTCTTCTTCAAAATCAGAGGAAAGATACACCACAGAAAAGTTTTTGACAAAGCTATTGAAATAGCAATTTAAACAAACATCAATTAAGTGCTGTCTTTGGCAGCATACATACTAAACAGTAATTAAATTCTGAGAAAGGAATTCATCTAGTTTTATCTTTGTATATTAGTATCAAATATTACTATGTATCTGTGATCAGGACACAAGATACACAAAATCCAACTCAACTGTCCCAAGGGAGTTCCAGAAACCTAGTACTATAATTTTGATATCCTAAAGCAAGATACACTATTAAAAAACACTCACCTTTACCCCTTTTTTCCAAAGACTGTGTTGCACATTTCACATTCAGTATTGAGTCCCCAATCCCTGAGGGTTCTACCTCTATCTTCTGGCATGACTTTGTAGGAAGCCGCTTGCTGAGGTGTAATGTGACACCGGGCACAGCAGTGAGCAGAGGCTTCTCCACCACATGGGTATTGCAAGAGGCTGCATCTCCCCACAGGGGTGTCAAGACAGACTTTTCCTTTTGTGAGGCTCCCTTCTCTTGCTGTTTCTGAGTATGATTCTCCCTCATAGTCTCACATCTCTTGATTGGAGATGTTGTAGTATCAACTCCTACAGTCTCATCGGAAGCCTTTTGGCAAATATAAAATGACAAAATTAAAATTAATACTTCTAAAAACCTATGACGATTTACAAAGTACCGGACCAACAATGAAGTTAAACAGAGTGTTATATGATCTAGAACCTGAGAGAAAAGCCTCTTGATATTACACAGAGAATAAATGCTAAAAATGAAAAAATGCAATGTTAAAAACGAAGACAGATAGAACAAAAAATTCAGATTTTTTCAGGTTAGATGATATGACCAGAAGTCAAATACTACCAGGCATAGTGACACATGCCTGTAATCTTAGCACTAGGGAGGCTGAGGCAAGAGAACTACTGAGAGTTCAAGGCCAGCCTGAATAAAAAGAGTGAAACCTTATCTCAGAAAAAAAAAAAAGTCTAACACCAATACTACTAATTACTCAAAAACCTATGCACAGATTTCTTTTTATAAATGTGTAAAATAAAACCTTAATGTCCAAAAAGACTATTTTCACATAATAAAATATGTGGTCAGGAAAAGCAAACATTTAGAATCATACAGTAAAGTTAGAACAGGCTGCACGACCGGGCCTCAAACTTGCAATCCTGTCTCAGTCTCCAGAGTGCTGGGATCACCAGTGTGACCATGACTACTTTCACTTTTCTTTTTTTTATATTGTGCCTTGTTATGTTGCCCAGATTGACCCTGAACTCCTGAGTTTTCATAATGATCTTTCTTCAGCATCCCAAGTAACTGGGACTATAGACATGTGCAATCTGCATTGGCTTGTTATTTTAAAAAAGAAAAGTTTAGCCAGGCATGGTGGCACATGTCTAGAATCTCAGCTCTTGGGAGGCTGAGTCATTAGGTTTTGCACAATGCATAGCATGATTCAGAAGCAGAAGAAAAAGAACCTGTTTAAAAAATATGGCAAATTTGAAAAAAGCTTTATAGGAGCTGGGAATTTAGCTCAGTGATATAGCTAGCACCTGCCTGGCAAGTGCAAGATTGTGAGTTTGATCCCCAGTACCAAAAAAACAAAAAAACTTTATAAAGTCCAAGCAAACAACGACATACAGAGAGCTACAGGAAATTATAAGGGACTTTAAATAATACATCAGTAACATGTTTAACAGATATTTACCATCAGCTAAAAGTAAAAGCTGCATTTGACCATTCAGCTAGGCTGTTTTCCATGCACAAAGCTACAAAATCTTTTTTTTTTTTTTTTTTTTTTTTTTGGAGACAGGGTTTTGCTTTGTGATTCAGGCTGGGCTTTAGTTCACTACACAGCACAGACTGGCCTCAAACTCACAGCAACCCTCCTGCCTCAGTCTCTTGAGTCCTGGGGGATTATAGGTATGTGCTACCAAGCCAGACTACACGACTTTAAACCAACTCACCTCACTGGCCTCTGTCCTAGTAGCACTGCTCTGAGAAGCCACTTCATTTCCTTCCTGAAGTCTTTTCTCTTCTTTCACACCTATATTAAAAGGCATCACTAGTTATCACTAGGTGGTAACTTACAGAAAATTATAAAGTCTCAAAACATATATTGAAACATCAAAGGTCTACACAGTATTACTTTAAACAAATAGCTTCTTTGAATCCAGCGATTGCAAAATCTAGGCAAGGTTCTCAAAGAACTATGAAGACTGCATGGCACACTATTTTTTGAGCTATTATTTGGAGAAGCAGGACCACATACCTGTTCTTTTGGTGACTCGCAGCAGCCGCCTTGTACCCAGGGTGGCCTCGGGGTGGGGCTGGGAACCTGTGCTGCTCTCAAAGCTCTGCTGTATCCTCAGTGCCTTCTCCAGTTTAATTTCCTCCAGTGTCTTAATGTGCACCTCCTGCATAGACTTTGTTCTACCTGCAGGCTCCTCTGATTGTCCTTTGCTCACAGCGACAGGTGGCAAAATCACCATTTTTTTAACTTCACTATCAGTCTTTAGCTTGATGCAAGTTGTATCCTTTTTGCTTTTTTGTTTCTCTGTCTCCTGTTGTCGATGTTTTTTTTCAGCCAGGACCTCAGAGAAGGTTTTGATTCGGACAGTGGAGGAGCTTTTTGTTTCCAATGTAGAATCATCAGGTTTTGAAGATCCTTCTGTCTTGAATTTAGTTTGCAATTCTCCACGTTTTTGACTAGCTCTTTCAAGAAGAATTTCTTCTAATGTCTTCACGTGGATCTCACCAACTTTATTAACTCTCTCTGTTTTGAGGGAAAAAAGTCAGACTTGGAGTTTAATGACTTATGACCTCTACCAGTGGATAAATACAGTACAATACACAGGTTATCAACTTAGGCAAATAAAATTAAAATGATCAAAAGTATCACATTAGTTTCACTATCAATTTTAGATTACTGTGTATTTCAAGCAGGTAGTAGCCCTGCACAAAAACTATGAAGGGCAAAAACCATTGGGCTGTATTATTATTCACAATCTTATTCTTATGAGTTGGTGAACTGTATCATCATAAACCTCACGAATCAAAATACAGTCATATCTTAGTACTTGTCAGTATTTTGTTCTACAATTTGTGATATGTGCCAAAATTGATATATACTAAATGGATTTTTGCTATAACAAATACTGTAATTAGGAATGATTCATGGATGTTCCTCAGAACTTTCACATTATACTGGTTAACACCAAACTTTTCTGGATTAAGATAAGCTTTTCACACTTAAGAGTCTCATTCTGAATCTTCTTATGACCATGATTACCATTTAAAATATACAAAAGTACAAGATAGTGCTGGGCACGGTAGCGCACACCTGCAAACCCAGCACTTTCAAGAGGCTGAGGCAGGAGAATAGTTTGAGGCTAGCCTAGACTACACATAGTGAGTTCAAGACTAGTTTGAAATACATAATGAGACCCTATCTCAAAAAGCAAAAAAATAACAGCAAAAAGTACAAGTAAACAAGGCAACTTAGCAAGACTGTTTCAGAAAAAGGGCAGGGGTAGGGAAATGGGAAATGTAGCTCAGATACAGAATGCCACCATGTCCTATCCCCAGCACCAAAAATTAATCATAGTAATTTGGAGACTTACACTTAAATATGGTAATTAATGAATAATGACTTTTAATGAGATTAAAATTACAATGTGTGTTATCATTTTCTGAATCTTATGAGTCTACTATCTCCTCTATTTGGAATATTCCCTACCATCTCATTTTTCTTGCTGCCTGGATGGTTTAATTGAGTTCAGTTTAGATTCTGCCATCATCTAATCTAGTTTCTTTGATCACACAGTATTTAACTGCCTGCACCTCCAAACACATACTTCATGAAAACCATGACTATATTTGGTTCTCTGCAACATATTAGTACGGTATTTTTTACAAAAGGGTTACTGAAACATCTCCTTAGACGTAAAAAAAAAAAAAAATTGTAAATTTGTCCATTTCAAGATGGTGAACTGTTCTCAAAAGTACCACCTCTGGGTGGGACATGAATGGTAACAAGGCTTTCTACAAAAATTTCATCAAAATGATACAGAACATATTTAAAATAATGTCCATACTAATCCTGAGAAAGTATGATGCCCCTGAAGCACAAATATTAAAAGAATTTCTCAGACAAAGTTAGATGATGGCACATGTTTAAATGCCAGCACTTTCGGAGGCTGAAACAGAAAGTGCACAAATTCTAGCCCAGCTTAGCTAGACCCAAGTCTCAAAAATTTTTAAAAAAGCTCAGTGCAAAGGCCCTGGATTCAAGCTCCAGTACCTCAAGAAAAGGTGGGGGAGAAAGCAGATGCTTGACTTTATACAAATATGGAAGAAGAATAGCAGGTCTGAGATTTGCTCTTCCTAACAAAATTAAACAGTCCACTATGGGCTAGCCAGTTTCAAAAGCAACAGTGGGCTCTAAGATAAGTGTTAGGATAGAAATTTAAGGACTAAAGATGTAGCTAAGAGTGTTTGCCTAACATGCACAAGGCTCTAGGGACTGCTCCTCAGCACACAACACACATGCACTCATACACATGAGTGCACACACAAAAATACTATAAATTCAACAGCTGCCTGTAGAACAGCTGAGCCAGTCATGCAAGAAAAAGAGCATTTACCCAAAAAAAAGCACATTATGAAGATATTAGGGCTGGGAAAAAAGTAATACATGGAAATTTTAGGCTTTGGCAAGTACAAATCAAAACATCTAGGGTGGCTCGGGGTGGGGGAGAATCAGTAAAAAGCAAAGCAAGAAAAGGAAAAATATTAGGTCCTCTCAGTCTTTATTATTACAGCAACTGTAATGGGCCCCAACCTTCCTTCCTATAAGCCATAACAAGTGGTCTTTTGATGCACCTTCTTCAACTGGGCAGACGTAAACCAAGTGTCCCAGTTGGGAAAGTGACTTACTTCAAAAAGGCCTTTAGAACCACGGAGAAAACCTAGGCCAAATATTTCCAACTGTAGAAAAGCATTAAAAATAAAACACACATACGAATTTTAACAACGGATTTGGGAGCTGGGGGTATGCTGAGTTTGCCTAGCACACACATGAAGCCCTGGGCCTGAGCCCTAGAACTAAACCTTACCTCACCTCACCCCACCACACCAAAGCAAACCAACAAAAAAGCCCAATCCCAATCAAAACAATAACAAATTTAATTAGATTCAAATTAGAAACTCCACAGTGGCCTGAAACCAGGCTTGAAAAAAGGACAAATCATGGAACAAAATAAGTTCCTGAAAAATGTAAGCGCTAAATAAACTCATTTGAAAGACTAACTAAAAGACTGGTGCAAAATCAGCTGTTTAAAATAGAATGGGCAAACTAGCCAAATTTGACCACTGCCTAATTTTGGAAGTAAGTTTTGCCAGACACTCATTTACACAGTGCCTGTAGCTGCTTTCACACTATAATGACAGAGCTGAGTGGTTAGGACAAAGACCAAACCACAAAGTTTAAAATACTTTCTGTTTCTTGTGGTATTGGGGATGAACCTAGGCCCTGTAGTGCTAGGCAAGTACTATACCACTAAGCCACACCATTCTAGCCCACAGCCTTAAATATTTATTACTTGGCCCTTTACAGAACATTCTGTGTCAATTTCTGATCTATACTTTACTATGTACCAAAGTTTCAACACTTACTTATAAGAATTTTATAAGAAGGAAACAGAAGAGAGAGGGGGGCTGAGGATTTAGCTCAGTGGCATAAGCGCCTGCCTTGCAAGCAGGCAGTCGTGAGTTCGATCCCTGGTACCGGTAAAAATGAAAAAGACAAAAAAAAAAAAAAAAAAAAAAAAAAAAAAAAAGAAGGAAACAGAAAACTGGAGAGGACAGGCTCAAAAGAAATTAGAGGAATATGGTCTAGAACTAATGACAAGTTCTTAGATTCAAAGGGCCCCACTGAATACTCCAGAATGAACCAATAAGATTTGACCTTAGATCCAATACTGCAAAGCTTCAGCACACCAGGTGAAGTACAGAGAAAATCCTAAACATTTCTGGAGACTATTAAGGCTATCTTCAAAAGAATACAAATATCCAGTCAGGTGTGATGTTGCATGCTCTAATCCCAACACTTGGGAGGCTGAGGCAGGACCACTGCTGTGTGTTTGAGGCCAGCCTAGACTACAAAGTGAGTTCAAGGACAGTCTCAAACAATGATAACGACAACACAACATACTACAATTTATGGGACACAATGAAAGCAATCTTAAGAGGGGAATTTTTAGCAGTAAACACCCACATTTGGAAAACAGAGAAAGCACATATAAACAACTTAGTGAACCTCAAACCTCTAGAAAAAGAGCAGGCTAAACTAAAAGCTCATATGAGGGAGTAAATTATAAAAATCAGAGCAGACATTAATGCACTGGAAACTAAAAAAACAATAAAGACTCAATGAATTGAAGAGTTGGTTCTCTGAAAGATTAAAATTGACAAACTCTTATCTAACCTTATCAAAAAAAGGAAAGACTCAAATCCATGCAATTAGGAATGAAAAGGGGGAAATCACAACAGACCCTGAAGAAATCCAGAAGTCTATACCTACTTTGAAACTTGTAGTCTAATAAGATGGAAAATACAGATGACATGGACAGATTCCTAGACACATATAAATTATTAAAGCTGAATCAAGAAGATATAAAAGTACTAAACTAAGCATCAATAAGTGAAATTGAAGATGTAATTAAAAACCTATCAACAAAGAAAAGCCTAACCCCTGACAGATTCACTGCTGAATTCTACAAGAAATTTAGAGAAGAACCTAACACCACTACTTCCCAAACTCATTACTGGAAGCAAGCACTACCCTGACATCAAAGCTAAGAACTAAGACAGAGAATTACAGGCCTAATGAATGTAGATGCAAAAATCCTTAATAAGATACTGGCAAACAGAAGGCAGCAAATTGTCAAGAAGATTATACACCATGATCAAGTGGGATTCATCTCAGAGATGCAGGGATGGTTCAATATACATAAATCCATAAATGTAATACACCATATTAATAGAGCCAAGGACAAAAATCATATGATCATCTCAATAGATGCAGAAAAAGCTTACTGCAAAGTCCAGCACCCATTCATGATAAAAACCCTACAGACAATTAGAATAGATGGTCTTTATCTCAATCTGATAAAAAGCTATCTATGGCAAACCAACAGTCAACATCATTCTAAATGCACAAAATCTGAAAACTATCTCTCTAAAATCAAGGATATCCAGTCTCCATCCCTTATTCAACATAGTCCTGGAAATAAAAGGAATAAAGACAGAAAACGAAGAAGTTAAATCATCACTATTTGCAGATGACATGATACTTTACATAGAAGACCCCAAAAATTCCACCACAAAAATTCCACCAAAAGACTACTAGATTTAATAAGCAAATTCAATAGCATAGCTGAAGTCAACTCTCCAAAATCAGTAGCCTTCCTGGTCACAAAAAAAAAAAAACAAAACTCACCGAGACAGAAATCAAGGAAACAACATCTTTCACAATAGCATATAAAAAAATGAAATACCTAGGAATCAATCTAAAAAAAGTATGCAAAAGACCTCTATATTGAAAACTACAGTATTCTGAAAAAGCAGATTGAAGAGGATATTAGAAAATATCCTGTGCACTTGGGTAGGAAGAACCAATATAGTGAAAATGGCCTATTTCTAAAACTGTTATACAGATTCAATGCAATCAATCAAAATTCCAATAGCTTACCTCACAGAATTAGAGAAAACAATCCTAAAATTCACTGGAACCACAAGAGACCTAGAATAGCAAAGGCGATCCTGGGCAACAAGGACAAGATAGGGGGCACAATCCCTGACTTAAAATTATAAAACTACTGTGATAAAAAGTGTGGTACTGGCAAAAAAAAAAAAAAAAAAAAAAAAACAACCCAAAAATCAATGGAATAGATTAGAAGAAGCAGAAACAACTGCAGATACATTAAACTACCTTATCTTTAATAAAGGTGCGGAATACATGCATACTGGAAGACAGCCTCTTTAATAAATGGTGCTGAAAAAATTGGCTCTACACATGCCGAAGATTAAAATTGGACTTGTATCTTTCACCACACACTAAGCTAAAATCAGAAGGGATGGAAGATCTTAATATTAAAACAGAAACATTAAATCTGCTAGAAGAGTAAGCAAAAGACACTGGTGTATAGACAAAAAAAGCCAAAAAAACCACATACATAAGAGCTGGGGATTTAGCTCAGCGGCATAAGCACCTGCCTTGCAAGCAGGCAGTCGTGAGTTCGATCCCTGGTACCGATAAAAACGAAAAAAAAAAAAAAGAAAGAAAGAAAAAAAAAAAGACACTGGTGTAGGCAGACCCTACCTGCAACAGAAATTACAAAGAATCAACTGATATCTCATCCTTTTGAAAAGCTTTTGCACAGCAAGAGAAACCACCAACGGAGTGGCTCATCTGTAGGATTACTGTTCCGATCCTGATCTTTTTATAATCCTGGACAAATAACCCACAGCTTTGTGCATGCTGGACACTGAGCTGCATCACTGGCACATCAGGACATGTCTTTTTCCTTTTTATCGGTACCGGGGATCGAACTTGCGACTGCCTGCTTGCAAGGCAGGCGCTTATGCCACTGAGCTAAATCCCCAGCCCCAGGGATATGTCTTTTTATGATGAGAACTATTTTAGAAAGTAACTATAGTAATTTTTATCTAATGTCATTTTGTTGGCTATCTCACTATTAACATAATGATGAACAATCATTTTGGCATTTTTATATACAACAAAGAGATTCAAATCAGTAAGTAATTAGCAAAGAAACATTATGAAGGATGAAAGTATCAGAACAATTTTACAATTTCAAGTACCTGTTGCCTCCTCACTATTTGGCACAGCTGACACGCCTAATCGCTCCTTCAGAGACTTGGAAACTTGAACTATAAAAAAGAAAAAAAAAATCTAAAACTTGAACAGAGACTTTATAGGTTATTTTTTTCAGAGTTCTTAATTTTTTTTTTTTTATCTCAAGGTCTATATTTTTATTCTCCTGAAAGGAGATTCACATGAATTACAAATTCCCCAGAGCACTGTGAGAAGTTAGGGGTGGGGACACACTTTTGTATCTGAAAAGCAAAAACTACTCAATTAATAATTCAAGGAAATAATTGTTATTGTGCAACACTCTAAAATTTTGTGGCATCAAAAGGTTTTCTTCCCCTAAATCTATTTGAAACATGTTCATCAGTTATGAGACTCTTTGGCATTACAGATATGAAAGCAAAAGGGAATCTGCCAAAAAAAGATAACTTCTCTAATTACTCTGAGCATATAAAAAGTCCCCAGATGGGAACATCTACTGATCAAGGCTCTTGGATGAGAAGAACATGTACAAAGAAATTATTTATCCTCACGAAAAATTTGAACACAAGAAAATGACTTATTCTTCGGTAGTTTACCAGTGTAATTAGTATTAAGGCATATGAGGGAAACAAAACTGAATCCTTGATTTTTATATATATATATAAAGTTCCCAACTCCCAAATCATTCTAGATCAATTTGTGTAACACTAAATCTATGCCACTCTCTCTCTTTTCCTGGATTAACAGCTTGCTAACCCCACTAGAACTTTGCTTCCTCCTCTTTCTCTGCACTGCTGGGCAGAGTAATTCTTGTGAATTGCAAATCTGATCCCTTGATGCCTTTTTAGAACCTTTTCCTAGGATAAGCCCAAACTCTCTTAAAATGGTTTTAAAAATTCTCTAATGAATCCGGGCACAGTGGTGCACAACTGATCCCAGCATTTGGGAGACCGAGGCAGGAAGATTATTGTGAGTTTGAGACCAGGCTGGGCTACAAAGTGAGCTCAAGGCCAGCCTGAACTTCTATGAGACTCTGTCACAGAAAGACCAAAAAGAAAAACCAAAACCAAAAAACCCTCTAACGATCCAGTTTCTCCTCCTCAGTCACTATAGCCTTTCACCCCAATTCTATGGTTTAGCTACACTCAGTTTCTCAAGCACATCATATTTTCTCAGCTGTGGCACTCTGCAGGGATTATTTCCTCTTCAGGTCCAAACTTTAACAATACAACCTTTCCCTGACAGATGACACTAAGTACCCTTCCTATATGTTCCCATCCTACTGTGTTTTTTCTGTCACACAACTTATCACAGTATTCCTGTAAGTATTCCTGCCATTATACTACAAATTCCTAAAGGGTATGATGCCATTTATTTTACTCAATGGTGTCTAACCCAGAATCCACCAAAGCACACAAATATGTTTTGAATGAGTCACAGACATCAAAAAATAACCTAGTTAGTCTGAACAACAGAATGACGAAACACACTTGTTAACAATCAGAGAGACATACAGTGTACCAGAAAATGGTACCTACCTTTCTTTGATGTTTTGTCAGTATTCATTTCTGGAGCTTCAATTTTTTTCCCCAGCCTCTGAGCCAGACTCCGTTTTAATGGAGGATCACTGTCACCACCTACAAATGTGGGGAATTTGGTTTAAGATTTTAATGTTTAGCAAGCCCAAGAAATACCTAGAAGAAAGAAAGATGCTAAGAAACAAGAGAGCTGGATAGGGAAATCGGAGGGTAAGGGAAGTAAAATGCTCAAGATGTGATATGTATATATAACAGAAGCCCAATAACTATGGTATGTATTACAAACATATACTAATATGAAACTTTTAAAAAGAGAAATATAAGGAAAAATGGACGATGGAGAATAATTCTCTACGTTTTAATTCTGTATGTGTTCTGCATTTACATGGTGTATTTGTGAACCAGTTTCCTTAGGAACTCAATGTTATAAAAGTAGTAAAAATATCGCAGAATGAGGATGTACAAATGACTATCTACCAAATAACCAACTAAAACTACCAATGAAAGTTTAAATTCATAAAAAATGTTTGTAAAAAATATTTGCAAAAAATCTTAACTGGCTAAATGCTACATTACAAAGTTTTAAGTTTTCCTATGACTCAAAAATCTGAAAGCCAGAGAGTCTTTCTCTTCAATTCCAAGTAAGAAACCTAAGGTTTCAACAGCCAGGCTTGTTGGTACAAGCTGTTATCCCAGCATTCAGGAGGCTGAGGCAGGTGGATTGCCACAAATTCGAGGTCAATCTGGGATATACAGTGCGTTCAAGGCCAATCAGAACTAAACAGTGAGACCCTGTCTCAAAGAACCAGGAAAAAAAAAAAAGTCAACTGGGTGTGATGGTACACATCCATAATGCCAGCACTTGGGAGGCTGATGCAGGAGCCTTGCCAAGAATTCAAGGCCAGTCTAAACTAGAGAGAGAGATCCTGGCTCAAAAAACAAAAACCAAAACAAGGAACCTAAGGCTCTGAAAGATTATCTACCTTATCAAGTCATGAACTAGCTACTGATAAGACTTAAAACCTGAAGCCAGTGTCCTGACTCCAGTTTATTAGTCATGATCATAATCACAGTGCTGTAAATTTCTGTAATTTTGATAAAAGGTACAATACCCACATGAAAAACATGAGGAAATTTTGGAAGTACTTTCAGTCAAATATCCAGGGGAACTGCAAACCAATACGGATGGGATTTGACGATACCATGCCAATGTAGAAACAAGCAGAAAATGAAAGAAACACACAAATGTTTATCTTACCTTCTGAAAGTTTTCGTTTCCCTAGTCTCTCAGTAAGACTAAGTCTAACCAAAGGTTCTTCTCCTGAAAGGGTAAAAACAGAATTTCTCTAGCAATAGCCAAGTTTTTTGTATTTGTAGTTACTAATAATACGAACTATGTTCTGCCACTAGCTTCAGTGCCCAGGAAGTGTCTTGAAAATCAGGTCTCAATCTTAAGAAAGATTATCACATTTAAAAGAAAAAGAAAACCTCAATATTTCAACAAATGCACAGTCCAAATAAAAGCAATAGCACAGTATTAATTATTAACAGCAGCCAAGCAGAAGACAGATTATGTTCCTAACAATTGGTTATAAAGCCCAAGTTGTACTTTTCTTATGTATTTTGCTAAGCTATATATAACTTCATCACTCCAGAAGGGACAGCTCTTCCTGCTGACCCTTTGTTAAATGGCCTAAACATTTAAATGTATCTGTATACTAAAATTTATGTCCTATTTCTTACTAGATTTTAAAGCTAGAATTACATTTGTCTTTAACACAAAGGGTTCATTGTATTACCCACAATGAGAAGTCAGTAATTTGGAGAATGCATACAGGTGAACAGTAAACATGAAAATTTCTATGTAACAGTGAAGGCTGCTTGAATAAGAATATCAATATTTAAAATACTTGGGTCAACTGTAACTTCTCTGTTTTTTAACCACCCTGCTACATTACTGCAAGGCCTATGCACCCGCTAAGCCTTTGTTAAAATTGTAAGACAGGGTCTCACTAATTTGTCTGAGTTGGGCTTGAACTTGTGATCTTCCTGGTCTTAGTTGACAGTATTGGTGTGCTACCTGGCCTTTTTACATCTTTATATTCAACACACTACTTATTCTTCCTGGAAAGTCATCAGAAGTTTAAAAAAAAAAAAATCACATTTCTAATTATACAAAAGTAGAAGCCCTACCACTCTAGGATCTACCTATGACTTACCTTGTTTGTTTGACAGAGTTACTGTCCTCACTACAGTCCGAACATTTTCTTTTTCAGGACCAGGAATGGGCTGAGGTTGGAGCAGCAGACTGGAAACACTTGAAGAACCTTCTGAGTAAGACAAATCAAAAACACCACAATTTGTGAAAAATAAAGCTGTCACAAGGTAAAAAACTTTGATTCTACAGCCTAAGTCCAATATAGATTGTTCAATCACTATAAGCCAATCAACCTTTCTATACATATCTGTCTACAATGAAATGGTGTAATGGCTGGGGGAGCTTTGGGTACGGCCTGAAAACAAAACATAAAACTGAGCCAGGCACAGCAACGCACAATGTATTCCCAGTCCCAGGACTCTGGAAGGCTGAGAGAGGAGGATCTTAAGTTTAAGCCCTGCCTGGTCATTTAGTGAGATCTTGCCTCAGAATAAAAATTAGGGGGTTGGGAATGTATCTCAGTAAAAAGGCCTGATGTTCAATTTCCCGTACTTTAAAAACAAAAAACAAAACAAAACAAAAAAAGGCCAATGTTATTCATTCTAGACTTAGCCTCAGAAGTATACTGGCCACCAGGTGTGTCAATTCAAAATTTTCTGTCTAAATTTAATCATCTACAAAAATCTTAACTCCAAAGTTTTAACACAGCAAGCTTTAAGAGTTCTCAGAATCAACTATTTGTTTCTCTCCAAATATATTTCACACCTTTTAATTTTTAGAGTGAAAATACAAATCAACCAGAGGTTGACAGAGGCTCTAGAAGAAAATCCTAGGAACCTTTTTTTGGTTGTTTGAGATAGAATCTTGCTATATTATTCAGGATGGCTGTGAACTTACTTTGAAGCCAGGATGGCCTTGAAACTGTCAATCCTCTTGCCTCAGTCTCCTGAGTGCTGGTATTTTAGGCATATGTTACCACGCCCAGCTAATTCTAGCAATTTTTTTAGAACAATTTATCTACTACAAAGTGAAGTCTTTGCTCTCCTCATATCATTCATAATGGTACTTTTCTTACTTCTCAAGACAGTTCCTTTTAGGTTATTGTAAGTGTCTAGTCATGAAAGGCTAATAAGGACTGCAACACAGTGAAGGCCGTGTTTTACTTCAACTAAGAGAAATCAAAATTTACTTGCTCATTTATTTCCACAAGTGTCCTTATTCTTCTCTTGTAACACATAACCAAAACTCCCTGCCAAAACCTGTGATGACTTACCACCTTGCTTCTTGGATTTTTCCTTCATTTTCTTTGATTTTATTTCCTCAAGAGTTTTTATTCCAAAATTTAAACTTTCACCTGAGAAACCCAAATGGAAACCATGAGACACTAGACCTTTTTTCACTTTTGCTTCTTATCTGTTCACAGCAGGCATTCAAGTATTTTTCAATGAATAAGAAAATATACATGTAAGTACATGTGTGTCACAGAGAGAGAGGAGGACAGTGACTCTGAATTAAACTTCAAAGACAGTTAAAATAGTGTGGACACACTCAGTGGTATTTTAAGATTTATTTGCGGTTGAGGATTTAGCTCAGCAGCAGCAGTGCCTGCCTGGCACACAGGAGGCTGTGAGTTCAATTCCCAATACCAGGAAAAAAAAAGATTTAACAGTCATACAATCTCTTCTTACCTTGCTTTAAACTGACTCCGGGTTTCCGTGCAGGAGCCACTCGTAATCCATTATGGACTTCAGGAGTTGGTTGTAGAGTAGGTGTTTTGGTTTCATCGCCCTCCTCAGAAAACTGGTCTGTATATCAACATTTAAGACAAATTTGTAATTAAAAACCAGCCTAAAGCTTTAATATTGATTCTGTCCAATTCACTACATGACCCTGTTTTCTTGTGCTAAATAAAAAACTAGCTAGGTGTGGGGGTCACACACCTGCACTCCCAGCTATTTCAGTGGGGGGCTAAGGCAGGAGTATCACAAGTTTGAAGGAAACCTTAGCAAAATAGAACTTCCTCAAAATAGCGGTAGAGAACCTGACTAGCATGCAAGAGGTCCTGAATTCCAGCCTCAGTACAGAAAGAAAAGAAAAGAGAAGAGCAAAGCGAAGCTGAAACTTACCATCATCATCTTCATCATCATCTGCAGCATTGATTACAACTGGTGGATGTGTGGGGCTAGGAACATTTTCAGAACTTTCTACTTTCATAACACTCCGCAGCTGAGGGGAGGGGTTCGACTGGACAGACAATTTATTCTGCTGAGCCGTAAGCTGACCAGCCTTTACTTCTTCTTCTTGTGACTCAAGCACAGTGGGCAAAACAGCTAAACATACAAAATCAGTCACAAATTAACAGAGGATGTGCAATACCAAGTCAACAAAAATCTCTGGTTTTTTATGATGAGTTTGGCACATTTTTCCCTATAAGCATTTATATCTTTTTACCTAATTTTCAGTTTTAAAACTCCCATGGAATTAAAAATGTGCTTTTAGCCAGTAACTCTTCGCTGTATGGAAACACAGTGGCACTGAAAACAGAATAAACAAAATGCTAGATGTATATTAGGTTTCTAAGTTCTACACATTTTATTTTAAAATTGAAACTGTAGACATTTTTCAATCAGCAAAGAAATAGTCTTTAAGAGACAGAAAATAAGTCAGTTGTGGTGGTGTACACCTATAATCTCAGCTTCTTGAGAGGCTAAGCCAGGGGATCACAAGTTTGAGGCCTGTCAGGGCAACTTTGTGAAATCTCCTAAGTGGAGAAGGCTGGGTGTGGTGGCACACAGCTGTAATCCTAGCACTTTGGAGGCTGAGGCAGGAGATTGGTTTGAGTTCAAGACCAGCCTCAATTATATAGCAAGATCTTGTCTGAAAAAGCCAAAAAGCACAGTAGAAGCTGAAGCATGACTGCTACAAGTTTGAGGCCATTCTAACCTGCATGGTGAAACTCTGTCTCAAAGACAAAAAAAAAAAGATGAAAAAAATAAGATTTTGTTATACAGTTCAGGATAGCCTTAACACGATAGGCAATCCTCCTGTCTCAGCCTCCCATGTGCAGGACTACAGATATATGCAACCACGCTTAGCCCAGATAGGCCTTTTAATGGCCAATAATGCCACTAAGAAAATTACATTAAAGACGACTCTGAAAACAAATATCAGTTTTTATGTTATTTTAGGTGACATCCTATAGGGTTAGCAAATATTTTCTATGCAGAGCTAGAGAGTCTATACATTAGGTCTTGTGTGCCATGTGGTCTCTGTCTTTTCTATATGCTCTCAGTAGCAGAAAACTAGTCACAAGACATAAGTGAATGAATGGACAAGGCTGCATTCCAGTAAATCTTTACAGAACAAGCAGAGGACTAGATCTGCCAAACCACGGTCTACAGCAGTGATGGGGAACCTTTTGAAGCTTTCAAAACCTTTTGAAGCCCACTGCAGCACGCATGCCATAGGTTCACCACCACTGGTCTAGAAAATCAAATTTCATTTGAAAACCTTATTGTTTTGATAAGAAAATTGCAAGTCTAATCTGGTATGCCAAGAAAAGTTTTGGTTCTGTACTAATCATTTAACCTTAATAAAGTTCAGCTTACCCATCTGCAAAATGGAAATAAGACTGCTCAGTCAGTGGACTGAAAGAACGCAATGTATATGAAGTATTTTGTACAGTGTGCACAATCTACTTAACAGGAACTATTCTTTCAAAATTAAGAACAGATCTCACTTTTACTTGGAGGTAGGAACAGGCCATCAACATAGCGTCCTCTGTTATGATGGAAAGCACAGTTTAGTTTTTGACATCCCATTGGCTGATTTTCCCAGTAACATGGAATTTCACTGCGTTTTTTCTGTAAAAGAATAAAACACTATTTTCAGTTAAAAAATGAAATAAGACCTGTATTGACTCCGTAATTTTCCTGAACAAAGTTCACAACAAGTTCAAAATGTGACATGAATACTAGCCATAAGTGAGGCTGCTGAAGGGGACAACAGTTTAAGCATGGTGGAGAGGTAAAAGGAGGAGAGGGATAGTTTATCTGCTATTCTTTCCTCCTTGGCCTCATCCTAAAACCTTAAATATCTACTTTTAGAGAAGCAGGATACCAGTTATGAATTCATTAGCCAGGTATAGAAGACATATGCCTGTAATCCTAGCACTTTACAGATTGAGACAGAAAAAAGAATCCTTGTGAGTTTAAGGCCAGCCTAGACTAAATTCAAGGCCAGTTTGCACCACATAGCAAGACCCTGCTCAAACAAAACAAAAGAAACAAAAAAGGATTATGGAACCAAAACTAAGGGGATTTCCATCTCCATTATTCTACTTATTAGCTATGTGATCATGGACAATTTAATGCCTTCAGGCTCACCTTCCTTAACAACACCTGTGTAATCTCAGCTACTCAGGAGCTTATGGCAGGAAGTCTGCAAATTTGATACCAGCCTGGGAAACATCTGTAATGAGACCCTATATTAAACTTTAAAAAAGAGGGAAGGCTAGAGATGTAACTCAATGGTAGAGCAGTTGTTTAGCGTGTGAGTCCCCAAACATTCCCAGTATGGGGATGGGCTTTCTAATTTCTAACTCACAGCCATCCTCTTACTGCAGCCTCCAAAGTGCTAGAATTACATGAGTGAATCATCATGCCCAGCCGTCTGGAAGCAATCTGCAAATATCAAGTGTTTTCTGTAACAGTATTTTCTACCTACAAGCCATGTGATACATATTTGGTTTATTGAATGCATTTTTTGGATTTTATCAGTTTATCCCCTTCACCCTTCTTTGAGACATAGTCTCTTGCCTTGAATTCTCAATCCTCCTGCCTCAGACTCCAGGAGTGCTGTGATTTCAAATATAAACCAAACTGGACATTGTGGCACATGCCTACAATCCTAGAACTGGAGCCAAGAGGATTGCCAAGAGTTGGGAGGCCAGCCTGGGCTACCTAGTGAGTTCAAGCCCATTCTGAACTACGTAAGATTCTGTCTCAAAAAACAAAACAAACAACAATAAAAATATATACCAGCATGTCACTATGCACAGCTTGATTTTTTTTCTAGCTAAAGAATATTTTATGAATAATGAAGATGATTTGCAAAAAAGAAATAAGTGATGATTACAGTACTACCTCAAAACAATCATTTATTTTGGCATAGAAACCTCCCACACACATACACTTTTTTGGCAGCATTGGCACAGGGCCTTTACACCAAACTATGTCTGTAGCCCCTTTTAAATTTCAACAGTCATTGGGTTACCCAGGTTGAGCTTGAACTTAAATCCCCTTGCCTCAGCCTCCCAGAATTCTACTTTTTTTTTTTTTAATCTTTTTACCGGTACCGGGGATTGAACTCACGACCACCTGCTTGCAAGGCAGGTGCTTATGCCGCTGAGCTAAATCCCCAGCCCCCAGCCTCCCAGAATTCTGGGATTACAAGTGTGTAATGCCTGGAATCTTTTTGGTTTTTAAAATCGTAAATGCATACCCACAATATTCCATACAATTCTGCACATTTATTTAGAAGATATCCTCTGTAGTGACATTTCTTTTATACAATTATTTGGATTGTTATAGTAATACAGTATACCCTCCAAAGATACACAATTGATTTTCATTAATTATTCATGGTAGCTATGTATATTCTCAAGTTACTGGGAACACTAAATTAGTATATACTGAACCACTGCTCCTAAGAGAAAAATAGGATTAAACTTCTGTGACCTCTGTTCACATCTGCACTGACTAATCAATAGTTGTTTCAGGTGTTTGCTTAAAAGTCACCTTATTTATACTGCTTGTTAACATGAAATTTCATGACCAATAGCATTTAATTCATACCTGAACAAAATCTAGCATTCATACTTTCTCTGAAAAGCATATACCAAATTTTTTTTATTTACAAAAAATAAATTGCACTTGGGCATGTTTTGGGACCATTTTAAATAGCAGAAAGCCAGATGCAGTGGCACACTCCTGTAAATCACAGCACTCAGGAGGCTGAGGCAGGAGGGCTGCTATAAGTTTAAGACCAGCCTACATAGCGAGACTCTCTCTCAAAAAAGCAAAATATGGGATGGGGATTTAGCTCAGTGGCATAAGCGCCTGCCTTACAAGTGCACAATCGTGAGTTCGAGCCCCGGTACCAAAAAAAACAAAAACAAAAACAAAAACAAAAAAAACACAAAATAAACAAACAACAGAATGACCAACAAAAAAAAAACACAAAACAAGAAAACACCATGGTACCAAACAGCCTATGAAAAGAATAACTGATTACCAGTATGAGACCTGAAAGAAGAAGGCAGAGAGCTGTTATCACCTGAATTGGAAATAAACATGTCTGGTGAGCCAAATATTTTGTACTATGATCATGTCCTTCATATGACATACTTCTCAAATAATGACTTGGGAGTTACAAATTAAGTATTGCCTTAGCAAACAGGCAAACTGGCAAATATGGAACCCATACCATAAATAATGAAAATAAACTACAAAAAAGTTAAGAGGTCCTTTTCATCCCTTTCCTATTGTCACTAATAAGGTTCTCCTTTATATTTCCAGATTTAAAAAATACACATGCAGGGCTGGGGATTTAGCTCAGCGACATAAGTGCCTGCCTGGCAAATGAGAGGTCAAGAGTTCGATCCCTGGTATCAAACAAAACAAAACAAACCCCACACATACAAAAAACAAATGTAAATTATTTTCTCTCCTAATTTACATACTTTGTCTTACACTTAAACTTGCTGCTTGACAATATATCCTGATCTTTCCATATCAATAAATTAGTTTCCCCTTTAAAAATTATGTTGTTCTTAACGATTTGTAAAAGGACGGTATGTAAACATTAACTAGTGATTTCTTACTGTTTATTTTTTCTCTGAACATATGTATTATTTCTACCCATTTTCTGTTTTGTTTATTCTTTCTTTAAATAAAATTTTTAAAAAAATAATGTTGTTGTTCTTGTTGTTAGATGGGCCTGGGGGTGCATACCTGAAATCCCAGCTCCTCAGGAGCCTGAGATAAGTTTCAGGCCAGCCTGGGTTAATTTAGCAAGACTGGTAGTAAGGTATCTCAGTGGTGGAGCACTATATTAGCATGTCATAGGGTATAGGTTCAATCTCCAGTACTGAAAAATTAAACACAAAAAAAAAAAGGGTTTTTTTTTTTCCTGCTCCAGCAAAAAAATATTTACTGGTGGAACTGAAAACTTACATCAATCTCCATGTGGCGAAACCTGCACACTTGTCGATAACAGCGTCCTTCTTGCCATAACGTGCAAACAGTTTCATTTCCTAGTGCAGCTTCACAGTGACGGAATGGGCAGCTGTCACCCTGTTAGAAAACAGAACATGGGGAAAAAATGTGGTGCTGAAATACATTCTATGTAAACTGTTCATAATTTACTGGAATCTAAAGAAACACCAATTAGTAAGACAAGAGACAACAAGAATAACCTGAGGGTAACAAATTTATAATTCCCTATAACCTACTTCTTTTTTTTTTCTAAATTGATACCAGGGATCAAACTCACGACTGCGTGCTTGCAAGGCAGGCACTTATGCCGCTGAACTAAATCCCAAGCCCCCTATAACCTATATCCTACTCTGTGTAAGTCTAGGCTTTGGACAGAAAATAAGAAAAAAAGTAATAAACATTTAAGTATAATTAATGTGTAATACTGCTGTATGTAAGACAGATAAATTAGAGAACTGCTGAAAATTTATGTAAGTTCTCTACAATTGAGCTAAACCCCCCAATCCTAAAACTGATTATTTTTTTGAGACAGGGTCTTACTTTGTAATGCAGGCTGGCCTCAAACTCACTATGTGGCCGAGGCTGGACGTGAATTCACAGCAGTTCTGTTGCCTCAACTTCCTAAGTGCTGGATTATAGGCATGCCACACCACACCCAAGTAAAAATTACAATTTTAAACATACCATTAATGACACATAAAAAATTACTATAACAAATTTAGTTGTAGCAACAGAATATAGCTAATATACCTAAATGGAACTGCAGAAAATCAAGCAGAAAAACAAGAAATGTTGACAAAGACAAAGCAGAAATGCTAAAGAGCTCTGTATTCTTTGCAGCAGCCAGTCTGAGAACAGAGGTTAGATTTAACCAGTGTATAGTTTTGAGAATTATAATATAACTCAGGCACTCATTTAATAAAAAGTATACAAAATTGTAGTCAGTAAACTGTAAGTCAAAGTGTTCTCAATTCCAAAGTACTCTGACTGGATTAATTACAGGTGAGAGAACATTAACTGATGACTATGTGCCATGGGCCTTTTCTTTTGGTGTCAGTGGGACTCGAACCCAGGGTCTCTGCACTGAACAGTCCTAGCCACTTGAAATTTTATAGTGTGAGACAAGCACTTTTTGAGTTGCCAAGTTGTATAGGGTGGGTTCAAGCTTACAGGCATGTTGTGGTGGGTGCACCACTATACCTAGCTTTTCATTTTTTGTAGAAAATGAGGAAATTAAGTTACATATAAAATGGAGAGGGGCCAGGGATGGTGGTACACACACGTAATCCCAAAACTCAGGAGGCTGCGCCAGAACTGGTGAGAGTTTTCTTTTCCTTTTTTTTTTTTTGGTTCTTTGGCTCTTTTTGTCTTTTTGATACAGGGTATCTTCAGGGCCCTGGGATTACAGTTATGTGCCATCACGCCCTGCACTGCTGCAAGTTCAAGGCCAGCCTGGGCTGCATACACAAGTCTGAACTACATAGCAAGACCCTATCTCAGAAACACCAAAAGAAAAAAAGAACAATGAATTCTAAATATGTTGTTATTTACAAAAAAACCTGACAGCAAATAATAAGCAGCTAAAATAAAACATAAAATAATTACAGACGTAAAGAAAATTCTGCCAGTTTTATTAAAGAAACTATAGGAAAAAAAGGAACTATAGAACGACCTGATTTGGAAACGTAGATTCTTACTTTGGTACATGTAGAATAGAAAAAAAAATAGCAGTCTTCTCCTTGATTAGACATGCTGAGTGACTTTGTGGCTAGGCGGCCTTCTGAAATAAGCCACTGCTTCCTCAAGGTGAGGACCAGTTCCAAGTCCTCTTGAAATGGGCTTAATCTTCCAGTCTTCCAAATGACAAGTCAAACACAGAAATCGTCTTTAAAATGTAATCCTAAAATGAGGAGAGGATACATTTACAGTATTTCAGGTAAATTCTTCCAATTTTCAATCAGGCTAATAACATCACACTGTCAAAACTCATTTTTAATTATCTTGCCCATACACATCCTCATAAACACTGACTGTACATTCTTACCTACAACATAAATTTTTGTTTAAGTCAGCTATAGCCCCCCTTTTTGGTATTCTCTTCAGTGTTTGATAAACTGTTTCTTTTTTTTTTTTTCTTTTTACTGGTACCCAGGATTGAACTCATGACCGCCTGCTTGCAAGGCAGGTGTTTATGTCACTGAGCTAAATCCCCAGCCCCTGATAAACTGTTTCAGCATACAATTTAAATAAGCACCGTTAAACAAACACATGATTTACATTTTAGATTAACAGGACATGGATAATTTTATACAAAATACTTGGTAAATCTACATTTCTGCCAAAGTAGGCCTTTTTATCTGAATGATAATGTTCAAATATCTTCATAAACATTTGTGTTGTTTCTGCCTAGTATGTAATTGTAACTAGGCAGAAAAATCTTATTTGGCTAGACTAACTTATAAAACTACCTTTGAAAACATCTGTAAAGCTACCATAGTAGATACTGAAGGTGGCTAGAAAATCTTCAGGGCAATTACCATAAGACAGTGTAGAACAAAACAGTGTACTCCCTAGCTTCTGCCATACCCAGGCCCCTGTACTACTCAAAAAAAACCTCTACAAAAGCACAACATAGTAAGAGCACATAAGAGACTATGGAAGCAGCTTCTACAAGCTCATACACCAGCAGACCAGGCTTCATAAACACTGACCTACCACTTGACATCAAACTATATTCAAGCATATCTACCTCAGACTGCTAAATCCTTTCAAGTTAACAATCTAGATTAAAACAGTCTGCAACTAACCAAGTATCAAAATCTTAAAATTTATATATGAGTCCAGTTCCTCCAATGTCCTGAAGAAAAAATATTCAACAAATATATGACATAATAATGCATAAGAACACTCACCACTGTCTTACTTCTAATAAGGAAATAACAACCAGAAACTTAAATGTCCAAAAACTAAAAGCTTTGATAGGGGCTGGGGATTTAGCTCAACGGCATAAGCGCCTGCCTTGCAAGCACGCAGTCGTGAGTTCAATCCCTGGACTGATAAAAAAGGAAAAAAGACAAAAAAAAAAAAAAAAAAAAGAAAACAAAACAGGGGCTGGGGATTTAGCTCAGCGGCTTAAGGGCCTGCCTTGCAAGCGGGCAGTCGTGAGTTCGCTCTTCGGTACGGATAAACAGGAAAATGACAAAAAAAAAAAAAAAGCTTTGATATATCTATATGACAGTACTTAGCCATATAAAGTTTGGTAGCCAAAAGTGAATGTTGCTATAAAAACACAAAACCCAAACGATAGAACTAAAAGTATGAAACAACAAAAAAAGTATGGACAAAGTATTGCATGAGGGGAGGCTAGAAGAATTCAAAGTGCTTGGCAGAAAGACCCTACAAGATACTGCTGCTAGACATATTAGAACTTAAGGTGCTTCTGGGGCAATCTGTCAAAAATGTTACTGGAATCTTGAGAAAAAATTACTCTTGTTATAAATTCACAGGGAACTTAGTGGTGCTTTAACTGTTGGGTGGAAGAGTGAACTTGTAAGCAAACAACATGAATATTTACCTGAGAGATTTCTAAGCAAAAGGTGCAAGAACAGCTTGGTTTTCCTTTGCTGCTTAAAGTAATATGTTAAAAGGCAAGATCATAGGCATTCATTATAACATAGGCTCAAAAGATAATTAAAAACTGCCTCAGGAGGGTGTGCTGGCACACACAATTTCAAAAGCTCAGGAGACTGAGGCAGGAAGCCCGGGCAATTTAGTGAGACCTTGTCTAAAAATAAACTTAAAAGGGGCTGCTGATGCAGCTCAGTGCAAAGGCCCTGGGTATAGTACTGCAAAACAAGTATTTTTAAAAACTGCTGGAAATGGAGTCAAATTTTTATAGGACATTTAAATAACTATAATGAGACATATATAAGAGGAAAAATATTAAGCTGAGCAGAGTGATAAAGTTTAATAGCAAAAAGTTTTTACAAGGGAGAAAAAGGGCTTACAGGCTCAAACTCATTTCTGAAACTAGTACCTCAAAAAATATAATTAACTACTACTACTAGTTTTAGGAAAACAGCAGACTAATCAAACAATAAAACGACAGCTATGATACGGCAACAAAATAGTACAAAGTAAAAAGGATCAAGATGCATATGTACCAATTCTTTATGATGAATATATTATGTATAACAAAAAATAAATTTTTTAAAAAGCATGAATTAGAATTTTGGGGCAAGTATATGTAAATTAACTCTGCAAAGCTCCCTCAAAGTTAAGCCACATGTGGGACACGGAATCCTAAATAAGGTGTCTCTTTAGAATGTTTTAGCAGAAAAAGATCTTTGTACATCTGTTTTATATTATGGGCTTCCGTAATTTTCACTAGAAAACAAAAATAAAAAATAGCTGTTGGGTGCAGTGATGCATGTCTGTAATCCCAGCTACTTAGAAAATGGAGGCAGAAAAATCCCATGTTCAAGGCCAGCATGGGCAACCAATCAAGAAAGATTGTCTAAAAATCAAAAAACAATGGCTAGGGATGTAGCTCAGTGGTAGATCATTTCCTAGCATCACAAAGCCCTGACTCCAACTCTCCGTTTCACCAAAACACACAAACAACCAACCAGAAAATTAAACTTGAGGGAGACATTAATACTATTGTAAGCAAAAACTCAAAATCAAAATGTGTACTGAAAAATTTCTTAAGTTTTCAAAGGAAAAAACAAAAATATCTGGATACCAAGAAAAACTTGGCTATCTTTCAAAAGTAAGTAACTGGCCAGGCATAGTGGCTCATGCCTGTAATCCCAATACTCGGGAACAGCCTGGGCTACAAAGTGAGCTCAAGGCCAGCCTGAACTACATAGCAGACCCTGTCTCAAAAAGACAAAAAAAAAAAAAGTAACTGTTTCAAAGTAGGTAATCAAAATGAATAACTACCCCTCTTTCAAATTACCCAAGTTATCATAGAAAACAAGGAAAAATCTTTTAACGTAGCATGCTTTCAACAAATGTCCAAGGATATAGCAATGATACAAATGAATACATTACTATGAAAGTAAGTGGAAAGAAAAGAAACCTTGAACTGTAAAAAAATCCAAATTTCTAGCCTCTTCCCTTAATAAAGGATTTAACAAAAGGAACAAACATCATAATAAAATAAATGAAAAACACAACTGGATTATAAGAGAAAATTGGGAGGAAACCCCCAGTACACAAACCAAAAAAATACAAAAAGATGTATGGCAAAATGAGAGAAAATGTATATAACGTGGAAATAATACCCAGAAATAAAATTTCTAGTCAATAGAAATTCTGAAAAGGGATGAAATGAAGAAAAACAGTACCAAAAAATTTCTCTACACTGAATGAATTTGAATCTTTAAAAAGGCTCATCAAATGCCAGATAGAACTTATATGTATATCCCTAGTACACATAAATATAGATACAGTAAGATTTCTGAATTCCAATGTATAGACACAATCATATGATTATGTGGGAAAAATCAGACCAATAAAGGAAAGACTCAGCATCATTATTATTCTCATATGAAACTCCAAATACCAAAAGGCAAAATTTAAAGGAGATTATGACCTTAGATTTAGCCTTTCAAGCTGTATTTCAGACAGCTCAGGACCTGGAAGATTTTAGACTTGAAATCCCAAACAATACATTAGCTAATTATATAAGATGTATATTAAAAGTAATATTATATGATCACACATGTTTATTTCAGGACTAAGAATGGTTTTAACATTAAGAAACTCATTATATTAATAAAGCTTGTTAAAAAATCATGTTATCTAAGCAAGATTTCAAAAAGAAAAAAGGGGTTAAAAATAGTACTTTTAAAAAAAAAAGTATAAGCCCAAGAATAAAAAAACAAGTTAAAATGCAACATCCACTCTTGATTTTTAAAAAAGGGCCAGGAGAAATGTTGCACATCTATAATCTCAGTTACTCAGAAGGATTGCTAGTTCAGGAAAAGCACAAGTTTCTTTCCTTCTTTTTTTAAAGCATAAGTTTCAAAGCTAGCCTGGATGCCTTGCCAAGACATACCAAAAAAAAAAAAAAAAAGAAAAGAGTGTGTGGGGTGGGAATGTAGTTCAGTTAGAACGGTTGCCTAGCGCTCACAAAGACCCTGGTTCAACTCCCAGCACCACCAAAAGAAAAGAAAAACTCAGTAAATCATAAGGAACTTCCTAAGCAACAGAAACTCTTAAGTACTGAAGCACAGTACAACACTACTGGTCACCTCACTTCAAACAAATGAAGGACCTCTCAGTTTGAACTGTCCCTCCATAGAGTCCCACACTCTAGTAAATACAGTAACAAAAAAACAAAACAAAACAAAAGCATTAACAAAAGTAAGGATGACACCAAAAAAACCTGAAATTATTTGTTGGCAATCGGCAAATCTAAGACAAAAAAAATACTGATTTAAAATATAAGATACACAAAGTCAGTAATTTTGCTCCATGCCAGGAAAAAAATTATTCAGATATTATGGATTGTAAGTACAACAATTGTTTAAATGTACTACTGGCAAATGGAGAAGTATACAGTTCAACAAAATTCAAGAGGACTATTAATATGATTTATAAGAAAAAGGGTAGCATTTAAAATTAACAAAAATACTCAGCTATTAAAATTCTGCTTCCTTGTAAAAGTTCCAAGAGAATAAAAGCAGAGATTGCAAAGCAGTGCTAGCTCACTAATTAGAGCACATACCAAGATTCTCAATTCATTAATTCTGCTATGCAAAAAGCAAGCCATATAATAAAAATGGTATTCATAAACTCTGAATAAAATATTTTTTCTATGACAGCAAAATTAAAAACCATAATAATAAAAGTATAAAAACAAAAAAGATACACCAGTACGTGGCCTAAGATTAGTATCTTTACTAAAAGGGACACGTTGAGAGCTTCTGCAAATCAAGAAGACCCATCAATTGCTCTGTAAAATGTTATGACCTTTTTAGGGAGCAGTATTAAAAAATCTACAAATTCAAGTGGCAAAACTCAAAATGTCTACTTGTCAGTGATTCATTTGATCCTGGCATAATCATATAATAAAACAGTACACAGTCATTTAAAAGATTAGGAAAAGAGGTGTATAGACAAAGAACCATGTTGTGACAAACTATAAACAGCACTATTCTCTAAGGACATAGAATTATCCAGAGGATTTCAGCTTGGTTGTTTTATTTTTACTTTGTACATGGTTACCCAAAGAAAGAAATAAAGAAATAATGATGTTTCCATCCAAAAACTAAAAACTAGTAAACTATTACAAGAAAGTACAGGAAAATTATGCCTTAAATTACAAAAAGTTTACTCCTTTAATGAGAAAAGGTCCCTTTATGTACTTACATTAGCTGGTGGTTCTCAACAGGAACATCTGTGTCTTCACTGAGTTCCAATCTATTACGCCTGTAGGTCGAACCAACACTCAATCCATGAATTAATAATAATGAGGCAGAAAGAATTTTCTTCCTCACATTGCCAAGGAAACCTCTCAGCCACAAATGAAACACAGGATGTGTTTTTAAAACATCTTTAAAACATCTCCCAACTATGGGAAGATTAAGTCCATTTGAATAACCTTTGTCAGACTGGAGACAGCTAGCATTAGTTATCTCCTCAAAAACAAAAACCAAAAAAGTTCATTTAAAGATGAACTTGAGATTCAGAGAATCATTTAAAAAAAAAAAAAATCCATCTTCCATAGTCGAACAATTTAAAAAGAAAAAGAAAAAAGGCCAAAAAATAAAATTCAATAAGATCCAATTTCTGGTCTTCAAGATTTCTTCACCTATTAAGAAAAAAACAGAAACCTTCCCCCATCTTTATTATGTGTTTAATAAAAGCATACTTGTATGCAAAAATATAAAGTGTTTTATGTATATAATATACATACACAGTAACTGGCTTATACACACGCACGCGCACACACACATACACATGTGTAGAAATAAAACATCTGGTAAGTTTCCCCTTTTAAAATATACCATAAAAGTCTTTAAATTTGGGTTCATTACTAAAATAGTGAACTTAGTCTTATACCAGAGAACTGTGAAGTGGATGTTACATTACAATTTGCCAAGCCCACAAAATAGTGTGAAGGGAAATCCCTTACACATGTAACAATGTGTACAATATGGATATATGTATAGCATCATCATCATGGAGTGTTTAACCAAAAAAGATAGAAACGTATAGTTACAGAGTAACTACAGAGTGGTGCAGCAAGCTGTAGAAGGCAGAGCAGCATTATAGCCATTCTGAACTGGTACTATAAAAACAGAAAGCTTTGAAGGAAGTTTTATTTTTTGGTTTTTGTTTTTTCTTCTTTTATACCAACAGCATCACTAGCACAGCATTAACACTGGCCCTGCAAAGGCTTGCTTACACAGCCTACACCCAAATTCTTTACTCCTTATGGGACAGCTACAGACTGTAATTATCCATGTACCCCAGTTAATAAAAGGGTAAACTTTTGGAACTGAAATTTCATTTCACAATGGTACATTTACCATTTAAGAATTTTAAAAAAGAAAAAAGAAAAAAAAATTTCGATACACAGAAACAAATATTCTAAATTTTTTAAACCAGCCCAGTAATAAAGCAAATTTGAGTCTCACATAATAAATACTACATAATTTCTAGGCTAAATCTTCCCAAATACTATCGAAGACAAAACTAAAATGAAAACTTAAAAAAAGTGGACACCTTTTACTCACACTTAATACTAGTCAATTTTCCAGGAATTTTTTGGGCAGGGAATATCCCCAAATCTAAAATGAAAAAAAGGAAAAATTGGGATCTTACATTAGTTATTCAATCTGAAACTTTTAAATAGCTGTTTACTAAAAGTCATCATTTTCTGGCCTCCTATTCAAAGAAACATACGTTCAGAGTGGAAAGGTATCTTAAGAATCATTGAGATCTACTCACTTTTTTCACCAATAATTCCTATCACATGAAAATACTGACTGCTTATTTTTAGTTAAATATAAAGTGGTCATAACTTCATAGTTCAGAATACAATACTATGGGTCACTAAGTATATTTTTAAAATTAGAAAAATATTCTTTGGGAAATGCACACTGGGCTTGTAAAAGAATGCTCATATAGGATTTGTGATTCAGTTCCCACTAAATCATTTTCAATTTTGCAAACTATCATATTAACCATAAGTCATGCAAAGCATCTTAAGTTTTTGTTTCTTTATATCACAAAGGTTTAAAAGGGCAATTCAAAGACTACAAGATTTTTCCTAATTGTTTTCTAATACTACACTTTTATAAAGAACCAAACCTGATTATAAAAGCTAATTCTATCACACATAGTAATCTGAATTGTAAAGCTGACCAGTATGAGGAGACAAACAGAAATTTCCAAATGTAAAACAATTTTGTGGGTTTTCTTTTTGCGAAGTTGTAGACAGGTATCAGGGTTTTTAAAGAAACAAACATGAAGAGAAGGAAGGAATAGCAGATTAGTCTTTTTTCCCTCAGTTTGAAGGATTCAGAGTTACCAAAGTTCCCACATTGGGAGAAATTCTAGCATCAATTACTGGTTCAGTCTACCAGCCAAAAATGGCCTAAAGCCTTTCAATGCTGCACTATATTTTTTTTTAACTAAAAATATCTTTTCTCAATTGATTTCAAAATTTTCAAGTGTGACACTGATTTACAATTATGAACTTACTAAAGTAAACCTTCCTTTTATCAACTGCCTCTGATGAATTTTCAGTTCTTGTGTTTTCAGATTTTCCGTGTGTGTGTGTGTGTGTGTGTGTGTGTGTGTGTGTGTATTTTTGTTTTGGGATACAAAGTACCACTATATTGACCACAATAATCTCAAACTTGTGGGCTCAAGCAATTCTCCTGTTTCATCCTCCCAAACAGCTGGGACTACAGATAGGTATCACACAAACCCAGTCTTTTTAAAGAATAGGTATGATTACACATGACTACAGCAATAAGGATATAGTAACTTAGCAAAAAGTTGCCCATTTTAAAGAGAGAGTAGAAAAAGAAGTTAAGATAATACTTCTTTTTCACTGCTTTGAACAACCTTAGTGGCAGGATCCCAGCTCAGAACCAATGTAGAATAATCATAGCTAACATTTTTCAAGTTCATTTTCAGAAACATCAATTGTTCTATATTGTCAAAGTCCAGGTTCATGATTTGTTTTGGATGAAAGTGGCTATTTGTAGTAAAGATACATTCAGATTGCCAACTACACATGGGGCAACTTAGATATTGAAGGGCAACTTGGGTCAGAGCTGGCCATATGCTCACCTTTCTCTGCCAGTAAACCAAAGGATCATTACCTCCTGAGAATTCTGAGTATTTCTCTTTGAAGTACTCATCCACTACTGCTATTGCAGAAGGGAACATGAAGCTTTTGCTTCCAATAGCAACACTGTGAGAAGCTGAGCTATCCATGGAACTTGAATTGGAGGTTCCTTCTTTTATAGATGAGGTAAACGATTCGGCTCCTACTGTAACTAAGGAACCAGAGGCTTCTGTAGCTGCAGTTTGGCAGGCCTCTGGTGAAGATTCCATATAATTGCAAACCTCTTCTGCAAGCATCTGTTTATAAGTTTCTAAATCAGCACCTTGAGGAAAAAAGTCTTCCAAGCTGTTTTTAAAGCATGGATCTAACAAAGTAGCCAAGATACAGGGTTTAGATTTGAGCATGGCACTTAGTAGGGTATCAGTTTCAAGTTTCAGAGATAAACTGTCCACCAGATTGAGAGCTTGAGTAATACCTCTGACTTGAAAATCTTCTCTGATTTTCTGAAGGGAAAGAAGTAGATGATGGATTAGGGGTAGCACCTGATTCAATCCTGTTGTCTTTACACTTACTTTCTGGGTGACCTCCTCAAATGGCTTAAGAATATCACAAACATACGTCATTAGAGTCCACTGAAGGGAGGTAAGTACAACGCCACTGGCTCTACCAAGGCTATGGTGAACTGAGTAGCAATGCTCCAAGAGCCACTGTAACATATAAAAAGTAGAAACCCAATGACCTGTTTCATCCTGCTTCAAATTCTTCCATGGAAGCTGGTGGTCATTTTGGAACTCTTGTAGTATCTGACGGGCCTTGACTGAGTGACTAAAATGGTGACAGGTTTTCCTAGCAGCCACTAACATATTCTCAATGCTTTTGTGCTCACAGAAAAAGCCCTGAATGACGATATTTAAACAATGCAGGAAACACGGCACATGGGTAAAACCACCATCTTTGATTGCATGTACCACATTAGATGAATTATCAGAAACAATGAAACTAGGGATAAGAAAATTAGGAGAAAGCCACAGACCAATTTGGTCATTTAATTCTTGCAAAATGTTGGTTATCAAACAGTCTTTGGCCAAACCTGTAACACAAAGCACTGCCCACTTTCTAAAATCAGGGATCCTGCCATTACTGGGAGAAGATGCAGTTTCCAAAGATACCCAGTGTACAGTCACGATGAAATAGTCAGTAGATGGGTCATGGGTCCATATGTCAACAGTCAAGTGGATCTTTTGGCTTTGAACATTCTCTAAAGTTAAGAAAATTTTTTCTCTGACACAATCATATAATTGAGGTACAGCCTTAGTGAAAAAGTAAGTCTCTGATGGCAATCTATAGTCAGGAGCCACAATCTGCAGGAATCTCTGAAAAGCTGGGGTTGAAAAGTAGTTGTAGGGATGCATGTCCTCTACAATCATTTGAATAATTGCCTGACTTATTTGATTAGAGGTTGAGTTTTCACAAATCGCTGTTTCTCTCTCTTGTGCATGCATCTGATTATCTTGCTCTACAACAGGAACGGGACTTTCAGATCTATTTTCAACCTCTAACACAGGAGATTCATCTGAATCAGAGTCACTAAGGTCCTCGGCTGTTAAATCTTGGCTGCCTGCAGACTTCTCTCCATGTAAAGTATCATTTAAGAGATCACTATTCTCAGTCTCAGTCTCTTCTAATCCATTTCCAGTGGCACCACTGTCTTTGTTGGCAACAGCCCAATGGATGGGATGTGTGGCCTGCAGGTGTCGTTGAAGTGTCGAAGTTCCTAAATGGGAACCTGGTCGACCCCGGCTCACACTTCTTTTACATATATTACACACAGCTCTTGAGATATGTTGAGGATCAGTGTAAAAAAAATTCCAAACTGCAGATGTCTTGGCCCTGGTTCCAGGTATTAAGGCATGCTTGACAATGTTACTTTTGATGAGAAATCTCCCTCTTTCTGCCCTTAGAGCATCAGACGCTGATTTATGGCGTTTTTTAGCCATTCTGTTATCATCCAAGGAATCAGTAGGAATATATTCAAAGCTTCCATTGCTTCCAGGAGAAGGGGGAGATAAAGATACATCCAAAGTAAAGTCCTCCTCCCCACTAGTAACTCCAAACTTGTTGGCCCTGGTCCAGTGAGGTGAATGCCTTGCTTGCAGATGTCTCTGAAGAGTAGATGTACCAAGATGGCTGCCTGGTTTACCCCTACTGACACTTTTTTCACAAAGATTACAAATGGCCCGCCATGTGTACTGGGGGTCAACATGAAAGAAGTGCCACACGATGGAGGTCTTGGCTCTGGTACTAGGTAGATAGATCTGTTTTTCTATATTGCTGCCAAAAAGATCTTCTTCATCTTGCTCAGGGGCACTAGGGGTTAACAAAGCAGGAGCATCTACAACAGGCCTCCCAGATCCCAAATCCTTATTAAATTTTTTGGCAAGAATCAACTTTTTTCGGCGCCTTTTCCCCTTAATCCGCAAGGCCTTCTTTCTTTTCTTTTTAGCAGGCAATTTTGCCTCTTTATCTACTCCGGCCACCATCTTTCCCTCTACCACATCCTCTTCATCTGAATTAGAATTAATGGAAACGCATCCCAGAATTCCAGCACCACTAAAAGTACTGCATCTTCTGTCAGGAGAGAGTGAGGAAACTGGTACACTTAAAGTACATACACTCATTCTCCTTATGGCTCCAAAATTCGTACCAGAATCTTTTAATGGGTTTATTACTCAAGCAGAAATACAGCTGTTACTTTCTATTTGTATTACCTTTTTTCCAATTTCTATGGAGAGTCAAATTCCCTTTGGACCAACAACTTGGAAGCCAGATTATTTTTGGAAGAGAAATGACAGCAGTGCACAAGATTCCCAAACTCTTTGTTAGGGGGTTTTAAAATCATTTCCAATTTTCTACATTCTAAATTCGAACAGTCCAGCATCCTCATGTTACTGAAAAAAGAACTGAGGCCCACTTCC